TTGTATTGTATATTTCTATTTTTAATTTGCAACAATTTTTTAAATATGTACCAATTTTCTTTTTAGTTTTAATTTGTACCTATATATTTCTTTTTTTTTCTATGCCCATATTTTAAACGTTTATGTGTACCCATAATTTTTTTTAATCTTTTATTAGGACCCATAATTTATTTAAAATGTACTAGTATTTCATAAAGAAAATGTACCACTTTGTTATACATATGTAAAATGTACCCCTTTGTTACATATATGTAAAATGCACCAATTTTTTTAATTTAGAACATACAAATATTTAAAACTAAAAATAAAAAAGCGCAGATCATATTTCACGATTCAAATTTGAGGGAAAAAAATAAAAAATTCTTATTTGGTATTAATTTTTGCTTGATTTTAGAAAGGATTTAATCATTTTTGTTATTAAAATTTTTAATTAATATTGAATTTAATTTTATGAATATTATTGTATCTCATTGGATTGGACGAGCAAAGTTTCTATTACATGCAATGTCTCTCTCGATCGCTCTCTCAACAGTCAAACAAATAATGGTCCCAAAGCCGCAGCTGGTCCATCTCTCTAGCTTTCGTGTTCGTTGTTCACCCTACACTGACCACGATGGCATGACCACCTCCTCTCTTGCTCTCTCCATCTTTTGATGATCCATTTTTGTTTCTATGTATTTATTTCATCTGCACCACGCCTTTAATGTTTTGGTCCAAAACCTAGCCAATTCTCCAACTTGCGCAACACTTCTTCTGATATCTATCGATTCATGCATACACACACACACACACACACACACAAACATTATCTTATCGTATAATTAATGAAAAAGCTAACGAATGATGGTTGAGTTTGGGTATATTATTTTTATGTTACTGAATTTTCCACCTGAATAAATTTTGGTTATGAAATTGGGGGTATATACTGCAAGGAACCGATTAAGTCACGCAGTATATATAATCATAGTTCCATATTTCAGATTTTTTTTTTTTGTATCATGAGGTGGTGTGCCTGCAGGACTTTAGGACCAGAAGGGTAGCATGGCCCCCATGGATGCTCAAGAATGAAGCCACGCGCACGAGGACATACCATATGTTCTTGATGGTGTACCCTACTCATCTTCAATCCAACCTAATCACCCAGTAATCTTTACATAATCTATGTTCTACTACGTCCAAGTACAAATATATTACAATTAGTTTGACACATTCATCTATATTAAAGAGCGTGTTAGTAACATGTCATTATTTTTTGAGTCTAAGGAACATTATTTATGAAAATACTCATTAAAAACCTTATATAAGTAGAGTTTTATGTGTGCACTGAGATGATCATGGTCAGCTATATCTTTTAGTTTGTCAACCATGCACCAATCGGATTTTTAGTGTGTGAAGTGCAAGCTGACGGCATTTGTGTACGACCAAAGTACCGAATATAATTAGCTGCAGCAAACGATCAAACATGCATTGCATATGCAGAGGCTTCTGTTCGTTAGCTGCAAAAAGATATATGCACATATATTGAGATAAGTTCAAACTTCAAAAGGCCTGGACTTTTAGGACCTCATAATTCAACTGCTGCCATATCGTGGGGACTCTTATATATAATATAATTCCCTTCCATGTATTTTATCATCCACACAATGTTGGGTTCGATCCCTTTACAAAGTAAGGAGTCGTAAAATGGTAGGACCTTGACTCTTATAGCTACTTAACTATATGTATATATAAGTGTGGTTCGTGTCACATTGGGGTCCATTCCCTTTTGTATCCAGAGAAAGTTGCAACAACAAAGTCCAAAAGCCTCAGAGGAACTTGGTTCCCAAACCGTCCCTACCTTGCTTGGATTATATATATCTTTTATCTACTTGGCCACATTGAGCAATTCGATCAATAATTGACAGCAATGGCATGTTTGGCTGCAATCGCTGTTTGAACAGTTTTAGCTAGCTTTCCAGGCTCCAGCTCCACATGAACAAGGTATGGGCATCCACATGAGCATCGACCCCCGCCACTTTGGCCACGTGTTTGCAAGCGGGAACTGTACGATGGTCGTCACTTAATCGCCATGCCCATGAGAATTAGTCCACCTCAATCAATCATACTAGCGCCATTACAGTCTAATGCATCGGGGCGATTTATATAGAATGATTTTATCGTTACCATGACATTCTATTTCAATAATACATTGTCACACATGTTGTATTACTAATTAAACTGAAACTTCTTTATGCAAGTCTTTCTCCAATCCATAATCTCAAGATTAATGCGTTAGACTTTCTTTACGGAAGTTAATGTTGTTTGCCGCATGTCAACTTTTCACCAACATGAAACCCTAGCATTTCAAGTCCAACAAGTAAAAGATAGGGTTTAGGGTTTACATTGAATATTTTTGGTATAAGATTAATTGATTTAATAACATGAAACCCTAGCATTTCCAAATGCAACAAGTTAAAGGGTAGGGTATTGCTTTATATAAAAAGTAATGATCAATAATTAATTGAATTTGGGGATATCATTAACCATTTAGCCATTAACAAGCAATAGCCACTAAAACGGGATAGTGAGTTAGAAGGTGTCAAGATTTTAGGAAGATAAGTAATAGGTTTACACTGATAAATTATCTTTCAACTTGCATTTTACCAATTTATACAACATGACAATTGCAAGAGTTTTATCACAAAACGTCTTCATGTAATTTGAAATTTGAATATAAATCATGAACTCTTGTGTTATTGAAAAGATCGTGAGGTTGAAAACACAGTGCACACGTGGGGGTGAGAGCTACCTGCTTAATTGCATTTGTTGGATTGTGGCTACAATCGCATGTGAGAGCGAACCCATCTGCATGTTAAGGCTGAGTCCGCCGTTTCGAAACTCGCCAATTCGCAACCTCCAACATGCATACACGACTGCCATCGCTTTCGTTTTCTTGTTGGCCGACTGATCGAATCGATCGTCGAACATGTTGGTCTTTAATTTCTTCCCTCTTTCGTGTTTTACGGCCTAATTTTGTTCTTTGACTCCTTACATTTTACCTTCTTTACGAGGATAATAATTAAACTAAGGCTAAGTTTTAGGTTAAATGTTAACACCTGATACTGTGTAGTGTGTACGTGTGTTCCCTCCCAAAACTACACACCCCCTCCTTACTTCAAATCTTGGGATACGGGGGTTCCCCTTTGCCCTCATGTCTAATCCTAAAACTTACCAACTTGTCGACGGATTAACATTGATTAAATTAATTGGTAACTTGAAAACCGCCTTAACTTACAAATGATGAATTCCGTTGATAATTATAGTATTTCCCTTCAATCTACTGTGTTTTGAGTTTAAAATCTTTCATTTCTCTCCAAGTGTAAATTAGTATAAAATATCGTTTTTACTAAAAAATTAAATAATTACCACCTTAAGTTAATTGGCTGATTTATATACGCACGAAAGCTAATGCAGATTCTTTTTTCCATTAGTCCCTTTAATCGCTAATCTTCTGTCTTGGTAAATAAAATACCATAATGCTTGCACTTCACTTTTTTAGGAACGAACTCAATCCACACTTGCAATTATTGTGTCTTCATTGTAGAATTTTCATAATCCATTGTTCAATTTCTTAATTTTCATTAAATATCATCTTTACAAACAATTATTTGAATAAGAGATTGTTTAATCATCGAACTGTATCAAATAAATCAACAATTCATCAAGAATATGCTACTTGACACATTTACCATTAATTTATTTGATACATTTAGATAATTAAATGATCTTCGATTCAAACGATTTTTTTGTAGGCATAACCTTCAAATGAAGATTAAAAGATTAAATGATTCTAGTTATGAAAATCTTACGATGAAGATACGTTATTCGCAACTGGAGAACAAGCTCATCCCTTTAAGAGAAAATACAAACATTACATCCAATAAAATGCCTAACTATCTCGCTAATTACCAACAAGAGGTAATTAAACACACATTGTTAACGTCATTTTGTACCTCGGTTTAAATATTGACATTTATGTAACAAAAACGATTTGCATTTTGCAAAGTTTCTTAATTCTCCAACCGTGAAGTTTCAACGCAAAATCCGTACGGCAGCAATCGGGTGAAGGATCGATTCAACGTCGCGGTTAAGATTCGAATTGACGTCTGATGATCGATCACCACCGACTACTCGGGAGGTGAATGTGATGATCATGTCCTGTGATCATTCTGAATGAATGATACAAATTGATTGGTACCCATCACGTGCCATCATTGCTTAAAAAAAAAAAAAAAAAAACAAAATTATTGTGCTGACCAGCACGCCACTGGCTAGTGGGCCTACGGCCTATATGAAAACTAAAAAGTAGGGTAGGGTTGTGGGCTTGGTGGCTTGGTGGCTTGGTGACTTGGTGTGCCTGCATCAAAAGCGAAAAGCAAAAAGCTAAAAAGTAACCTAAGCAAAAAATTGCTTTTGACTCCTGCTTATCTACCTTTCCGCTTTTTCTTTATCTCGCTTGGTTGAAAAGACAATATCCTCCAACCCCAAGTGGTAAAAGTCTTCACAGAACCACAAGTTGCTTTCATTGCTTCAAATCTAGAAGAGCCGTGTAAGTGACAAATTGAGATTAATTTAAAAGTGTTTTTCAAATGATTAAAAACAAAGCTTTATGAATAATTAAATAAATAAAAATTCAAGAAAATAATTGAGAGATCATTGAGTTTGTAGCACTCCTGATTTAATTTCCTGCAATTGATATCTCGTAAATAAAATTACAGATTATTGAGTTTGGAGTATACATGGCTAAAAATGATGCAAAAATCGATACTCGCTAAAAACTGCGCCCTTTTATCTTGAAACTTGATATTAACAACTAAATAACAGGACGCTTAACCAATTAATTTCTTTTGAAGTAACACCAAGGAACACGACAAATGCAAATAATTTCCGATCCACATTCCACGGACAACACCTCAAAACCATATCTGAGAACAAAATTAAGAAAACTACACCAGAAAAAATATTAAAAAATTAATCATTGTTTAGTAATTTTGTCCCCTAATCCTTTGTCGTCCATATATTCATGAACTAATTTCAACCGCCACTTCTTTTATATGGTAAAGGACGAATTTTGCCTGAAATAATCTCATCACTGTAAACAACAACAAATGCGTGACGCAACGAAGCGAAATTGATTAATTAAATAATAAATCATCTGCTTTTCTTCCCTGTTTTCCTCTTGTGCGTTTTGCTCCCTCCCAACAAGCTCTCCCACAAATTTAGACACACTTAGGCCTCTCATGGGAGCATAGTCCTTAAAAACAGGGCTTTTTTCTTAATTACATAAAGTCAAAATCTATTAATTTGCTCCCAAAAATTTGGATTAAAACACCTTCAAACCTCGACGGATTCTTCGTTCTCCATCGTACTTAATCTAGCTAGCTAAACTTCTTCTCTGCCAGAAAATCCTCGTCGGTTTCAAAGAGTGACACATTTTGATCATATATGCACGGCCACGAACATACGATTGGAAGCCTCTTCTTCGTTTTCCTAGCTTTGTGTATCTCCATATGTGCTTCTGTGACAACAACATTTACAATCCCAGAAGAATGTAGTAGACCAAAGTAATTGGTAAAGCTATCAACATTCCGAAAATAACCCTGCAGTAAATTATTTAATTAATTAGTTAAAATATAAACAAATTAAGTTTAAGATAAGAAGGAACTAATTTTAAAATATAAGACTCGTCTAGAAATACTTTTAAAATTACTGAAAATATTTTTGATAAAAATGTTTTTAGAACCAATCTTTAGTAAAAATGCAAATGAGTCTAAGAAAAACACTTGAAGTATTTCTTAGAAAGAAAAAAACATAATTGGAGTTTTTTTATAAAATCATTTAAAGTGATTTTGGAACTCAAAATTATTAATAAAAAAAAAACGTTTTCAGTCATTTTTAAAGTATTTCCAAACAAGCGCATAATTTTTTGTTACTTACCCAGTGCTAAGAATGGCTGGATGAACATTGTACTCCTTGGCAAATACAAAGGGAACAATTCCTTGAGGAAGAGCAGCCTACATTTGCCACAGATGGATTAACAATGTTAAGTAATTATATATTAATTATAAACAAAGGGCATGATGGGTAGTTTAAAAGTACCTGGACAATAGCTAAGTGGAGGAGGGTGCCACGGAGGCCAACAGCAATGGAGGCGGCAGCCATGACGGCGGGGCCAGTGAGGAACCTTACTGCCATTGCAAATCCGGCAACTGAGTTCCCACATGCTATTATCTTGGGTTGAAGTGCCATAAAAAGACCTGCCATTGTTATCACACCAGTAACAATCAAATAATCAGTATTGCCATAGTGATTTTCGTACTCCACAATTTATTCTGCAAATTAAATATAAAATACATAAAAAGTAAGAAAAAGTAATTGAGAAAAAAAATTTCAATGTGTTTTGAACACGATTTGCTACATTAAATATCATAATATTTGGTGTATCAGATCATATTTTTGACAAAAAAAAATGTTAAAATCATTTGTAAACGAAATATATAATTTATTTTAAGGGAGACTTTAGATGTGGTGCTTAGTTATGAATATTATTTTATTGAAACCTTGTTGGTTTTTAATTTTTTATCGAGGTCCCTGAAATTAATGTGATAATTTATTTCTATGTATATTACTATATTTTTTTAAATTAAAAATTAGAAATTTTAGTTGTTTATATAAATGAGATTTTAAATAAAAAAAACCATAATTTGTGGGATTAAAAATATTAAAATATAAATATACTATTGTATGTGTGTATATATATATATATAAACATGGGTACATTCATCAAAATTAACCAAAAAATTTATTGTATCAAAACATGGGTACATTCTTCAAAATCACAAAAAAAAAAAAAAAGATATTAGACTCAATAATAGTAGTAAATTTCTTCGATTTTAACTTGACATGGATACATTTTAAAATCAAAGAAAAAAGCATGTACCCATATAAGTATAAAAATGGATTAGAAAAAAATTGAATAGATTTTATATAAAAAAAGGGTACATTTTATATATAACAAATTGGTACATTTAAGAATGAGTACATTTTAAGATAAAAAAGTTTTACATGAATGGGTACGTATAATTAGCATGGGTACATTTAGCAAAATAAAAAGTACAAATGCAAAAAATATATGAGTACAAATACAAATAAACTTTAAAAAATATGGGCACAAAAAGAAATTAATATATGGGAACAAATTAAAACTGAAAAGAAAATTGGTACAAGTTAAAAAAGAATTACAAATTAAAAATGGGTACAAACTAAAACTAAAAATATATGATAAAAAATTTAGTCATAATTATAAATATACTAATTGTAACATTTTAACATTAAATGAATATATTCAGAAATAAAAAATTATTTTATTATTGAAATAATTAATGATGTTATTATTGAAATAATTAATTATGTTATTAATACCCAAGAACTTTGATTAAAAATTAAAAAAGAATACGATTTTAACCAAAAAAGTAGTAAAAAAAAAAAGAGAACCTAATCTCTTCTTATTTTAATTTGGATTTCAGCTGGTTATTTCAAACTTTTAACTACTTTCACAAATTTGGACCAAATCGGGCATCTGTCACAACCAATGTCCACCGACCCTGGACCGCAAGATCTGCCCCACATGTCGGGTGGTCAATATACCCGTTTAAAGTCCACTAAACTACAAGTCCACACCCTTCAACTTCTATTTCTTATGATGAGCAAACAAGCGGCTGTAAGAACCATTGATTGGTTGTGACTCGTCAGAGTACGGAGTATCCACACCCATAAAACTTATTTGTAATTGAAATGACATCGCAACAAATGCGTAATTGACGTTAGATATTATCAGTCTATTTTATTTTGACAAAATACATGTCATTCTAACAATATTTATCTACTTGCATAATATATTGAAGTATTGAACTTAGTGTTCTAAAAGACGCCATAGGCGGCCGCCTAGCAACCGAGGCGTTTTTGGGCAAATCGCTTGAAAAAATCGGGTTGAGCCTAGGCGGGTTGGGCGGCTAGGCGGGCTAGACGGTCCTAGGAGGTTTTATTTATTTATTTTTTATTAATTGCGTGCTTTTTTCTTTTTTGGTTTCATGGTGGTATACTTATGGAAATGATGTATCTAATTTGCAAATTATGGATCTACTACAAGTTCATCCAATACTTATGGAAATAGTGTACCTAATTTGCATTTTATCATTATTTTATTATCCATACAAGTATATTTTTTTTTAGGTGTCAATATGCACTTATATACAAGATATACAAGAAATTTACCTAAATAAGCCTAGGCGCTAGGCGCTAGCTCGCCGCTCGACTAGAACTGCAACTCTAAAGTTTGTTTTTCGTATCTAATTAGAAATGTCCATCACGCGTTTTTGTTTAAGATGTTACTTGAACTAAATTCAATAGTGCAAATTTGCTGTCCGGGTAGACCATCGATAACACCTCAGGCGCGCCTCCCAAGTGCCTAGGCTAGTCGATAGCTTACCCACACTGGACAGAGGCGTAATAAAGAGAGGAATGCATAAGAAATATTTTGTAGCGCTAATAATAATTTTTTAAAGTTAATAGCTTGATTAATTTGAAGAGTATGGCAATTAAGAAACAAATTGACTTACCTAAGCTGAACATAGCCATTCCAAGGCCAGCATCAGATAGTATGGAAATGGACTTTTCTACTATTCTCGGCATCTCCACATGCCACCTACAAATCAAATAATTCAAATCATAAATTTTAAAGTGGTATAAAAATGTTTGTAACAAACATATCAAAAACAAAAATAATAAAACCGTATAAAGTTGTCTCACCGGAAAGCGATGAGAGACCAGATGAGACCAATGAGGCTCGAATACGTGTTGGGATTGCGGATAAGCTTCCGCCACACCATGATCAAGATCAGACGGGTCATAACGCTCGCGGGAGGCATTTGCTTTCCGACACTTGACTCATGAGGATCACCAAGTGCGCCGCCCTTTGGGTGCAGCTCCGTAGTGGAGTTTGACCCCAGCTTAGTAAGACCTGTGGGTCCCGCTCTTTCCCTCTCAGCCTCCTCTCCCTCGCCGCCCCTCCCGCCGAAGCTAAACGCTTCCCTGCCGTACCCCTCCGCCGTCGGCGCACTCTCCGGAACTGCCGCTGCACAATCATAGTCAGGGTTAAATTAGATTGAATTGGGAAAAAAACATTGCATTAAAGCAACGATAACGACAGTGCTCCTAATCTGTCAATCGTTTTCGTTTAATTGATTTAATTCGACAAATAGAAATAAACAAGAGGTTGTAAGAAGGAAAAATGACGTGTGATTATTACTTTTGCCGGGAAAATTACAAGTTAGTTACCTTTGTTTTCTCCGTTTTGGGGGTGATCAGCAACAATCATTCTTATCTCCTTGGCGCCCTGATCGGACCGTCCAGATTGCTCGGCCGCACTGGAATCGTTCCCGCCAAAAACATGAAGCCCACCGCCATCGGAAACCGGGGACGCGCTGGAGCTCCATACAAACATGTGGAGCTCTTTAGCATCGTGATGACTATTCGTTTTAGCAATAGCACTATTCGAAACCGGTGGCGCCTCCACTTGGGGCTGCGGCGGCGGCTGCTGATTTTTGCTGTTACTTTTAGCTATGGGTGCCGAGAACTCCGGATTAGGAGCCGGGTACGACGCGGGTACCGTCTGCGCGGGATAAAACCCAAACCGGGGAGACGTAACGGTCTGAGCGGCGCAATTCTCTTCGAAATTGGAGGGTCGGGGAGTCGGACCGCGGGAGGACTGAACCGAATACAAGTCGGCGGGTCCGAAATTGGAGTGCCGGGTGTTGAACCCTTGGACTCCCATCATGGAGTAAAAATCGGAGGGGTTGAAATTGGAGCCTCTCGGCGTCGGGTTTCGGGAGGAGCTCAGGCTGTAAATCTCGGCGCCGGTGAGGTTCGACGGCCGAGGGGTCATTGCGGAGAGTGACCGCCTTGATGCGTTGGACTTCCGGACCTTGACGTGGAGCTTTCCGTCGTCGCCGATTTCGGCGTCGGTCTCGAGAAAATCGCGACCGTCGAGCGATACGACGTCGGAGTCGACTTTGAAGGAGACGATGGAGGCGGCGGTCTCCGGGAACTGCTCCATGATTAGAAGCTTGGCGCCACGGTACTCGAAGAGGAAGAGGAGGAGAGTGTACCAGATGATGCACTGCAGTACCACCACCTGCACCATGAGGCTGCCGGATTCCGGGATTTTATGGCCGTACATGGCGATTAACAGCGGAATCCCCATGACGAGAGTGTTGGGGAGAGTAGAGAGGGAGAAAATTGTAATCATCCACTCGAGGCTGCCGTTGCGGGTGAAGTTGGTCCAGAGGCCGAGGGCAAAGAGCATGATGATTTTCTGGAGGGTATCGGCGGCGATGAACCGGAAGTTCATGGTGTAGGGGTCGTTGGTGGAGATGAAGTGGAAGGAGAGCAAGGGGACGGCAAATATCGCGACGAAGCGGTTGATGCCGGAGCACTGGTCGGGGGAGAAGATCTTCCACCACCGGACGGAGCCGTAGGCTAAGATCATGGCCACGTACAGCGGCACCACCGCCGTCAAGACTTTGTAAAGGTCGTGCCACGAAATCATTTTTGATTGGCTGTTGGGAGTGCGCGTGAGTGAAACGGGTGGTGCTTAATTACTACTGGCACTTTCGGTGTTCAGATCTGGTGGAGGTGGGATGGCATTTGGATGTGAATTGAAGAAGAGGTAAGGGGCAAAATGGGAAGAAGAAATAAAACCGTTAGTTAACGAACTGGGAGTGGGAAGGATACTCTGCGCAGCTGGTGTTGGCTGCGCTCGATCAGTGTGTTATCTCAGGTTCTGATACTGCTGATGAACCCAGAGAGAGAAAGTAGAGAGAGAGGACGGAAGAGAGGCAGTGATTTTACAAGGGGAGGATTGGGTTGTAGTAACTTTGGAGGGAGTATATATAGGCCGACAGAGAGAACAGAGTAGATAACGATACATACACGGGGGTGTATACATGCAGATTTTTTTTATTTCTTTTTAATTATAATAATAATTTGATTAAGAAAATTTAAATATTATTATAATACAAGTGGATAGACGTAACTCAGTACACTAAGTTTTATAATACAAGTGGATTGACACTAGAAAAAGAATTCTCCTATTTATCATAGGAAACATGATGTACTGGTCTGTATTCCAGGACAAATTTCTTAGTGTGCCGGGAATACGGTCAGGCATATAAAGTGTCACAACACAATTGGTTGAATTATGTTTTTTCTTTAAGTTTCCAACTAATTGTATTATTATACTTAGTGTACCGAGCCGTATTTTTTGTACACTGAAAACTATCTCGCATTCTAGACACACAAAAATCTCTCCTCTGCCATGTTTAAAGCAGCGTGTCTTATTTCTATAATTTTGTTCGAACATTTTTTTTCTATTATACTTAAATAGATAGATTAAATTATCCCATTCAAATGTAGAGTACAAATTTAAGAAACTAATATAAATGAAATACTTTTAATAAGTTATACTTCCATTGAGGACACCAGCCTCAGAACACACAACATTGATCGTGACAAGTAGGGTGCAATTCCTAATTAGCCTCTTATTCAAGCTCGAAAGAGATGGATAATAGTAGTTTGCCACCAGTAATCATCTTTTTAAAGAAAAATGGGATAATAGTGTTGCAATTCCTATGCCTCTACAAACAATGTTGTATATAAAATGTGAAAAAAAACGAATCAATATTATATCACTTCAAAATTGCAAGTCTTCTAGAACCAATACTATATTGCTTCTTAAAAAAAAGTGTGACTAACAATTGATTGTTAATCGTGGCCAACTTTCTTTGTTAATATATGATTAAGTTTATTTATGGTGTTTAAATTACGAGTTTTGCTCGACCATCTCCCCAAAACTTTGCATTTTATAACAATTTATTTGTCTGTTGATTTATTTTCAATGCATAAAAGCATCTTTTAACTTCCGACGTGCAGGTGATTTCAAAGCTTTCGCTATCTTAACCATATTATTTATGTTACGAGATTATTATTATTATTATTTTTTAAATTCTTGCCAGTCGTCTAGGCTAATTTAAAAGAAGAGAAACCCTTTTAAAGTAAGGAAAGCTAATGAAAAGGGCTTGAAAACTTTGAGTTTTAACGATAAGGACAAAATAAAGGGTAAAATGAATAGTACCAGAATTGACTTTTTAGTGTAAAAATGTGATTTTTCGTTAAAGTGAACAGTACCGAAAGCTTTTCGTTAAAGTTCACTTTAAAGTATTCTATATTTTTCACAAAAATACAGACAGGCAAGGGAGGCACACGGGTGTGGAAGCGTATACGGCGGAGGTGATAGAGGTTGAACGTGAAATATGTGTTGTAGTTGGATCCGCGGGCATTGGGGCCGGCGGGAGACGGGAGGCGGGAGGCGAATGTGAAGGGTGGGTTAGGAATTGACCGCCTGACATGTTTAGGTTAACCCGACATGGGTTCGCACACGCGGCGGCATTCATGTGGTAGAGCTTCTTCAATGACGTGGACAACCTTCTATCTTCTTTCCATATCTACTTTCTGGTTTCTTTGGTCCTGGTTCTGGTTGCTCTTTTCTTTCAAAGTAGAAGCCAAATGTGTGTGAATAGAAAAAGTTCATCTAATTTATGAAAATGACTTACACGAAACGGAGATGCAAAGTTACGATATTCCAAGTTAATCATGCAGCGATCGCTAAATAATTTAAAACGAAATGCCCTAGCAGGTTTACCCTTGGAACTGAACTTTAACCTAGCTAGGCAATAGTAAGATTCCGCACTTGTGGATTGCGGTTAAAGGCGACAAAATCTGGTCCGTTTCAAACAAAACTCAGAGAATCAATCAAAGCGATATCACAGTACCTTGGCAAGGACTTCGCAATTTTGATCAGAAATTGATTGTTTCATATCAGATTAATTTTGACCATCACATCCTCAAACATTTACCCAACGAAGTCCAATCACGCTCTTCCACTTAGCAAGAGCTTCTCGCACGTAATCATGCTACATCTCGTTCTCTTTCATCACGTGATCAAGTGTGTTTCTTTTGTCGAATACGTGATTTGGTGTTGAAGCGTTTTTTATGATGAAACTCCAACATCTCTTGGGCTAGCAGGTACTACCTTCCCTATTCAACATTTTTCTCTGCTCAAATTTGTGTTCTTGGGTCGAACCAGACCAACCCATTCTATGATGAAGGACAGAAAGAAAGAGGATCTTCAAGATTTTATGTTATTTGTGATCGTGATGAATTTTAGGGTGGGTAACCAGAGCCAAAAGGTGCCTACTTTTTCTTGACACGATACTGTATTTTCAGTCATGATATTTTAGGTACGTGAATGCGACTGATGCTTATCAATCATGAACTTCCCACCTTCTGTTATATTCCCTTCTCATCGACATATATACGATCATCCAAATCATTTGCTGATCAACCATTCACTTAATCTTACATTTTGGCCATTAATTATTCATCATCGTGTTAAATCGATTGATTAGCTAATGACAAAACTGGACTGACTAATCATTTTTGTAGCAGTATATATTAACAGGTCAATGCGAATATATAAGACCTTATAGGTATAGAAGCTTCACGGGGTCGTATCATACTAATTAAATAAATAAAAAGATGGTGTGCTTTAATTTAGCAGCCATACGAGGATTTCTTTTGTTGTGAAAAAGATATGCATGCATGAAATATCTCGGTATAAGATCGTATTCCCTTAGAACATTTTCCCTTCTTTATGATATTCTTTGGCGGTTGATGGTTGCAATTTTTATTTAAGAGTTCGTTTAGAAGTGTTTATAAAATGATTAAAAGCGAAAGTGTTTTTGGAATTGATCCTTAGTAAAAATGCAAGTGAATTATGAAAAAAACACTTCCAAAAACAATTTCACAAAAAGTGTTTTCAGTCATTTTAAAATACTTCCAAAATATGACATTAAAGAAAAAATCCAACAATCATCCGCCACATCATGTGATCTACAAAATATAGTCTAAAAACATGGTCTCCCTAACATTCTTTGTTTTTTTTAACTTTTCACTATCATATGGAAGAAAACTCAACTCAAGAATTAAGATAATATGAGTATGTAGTTAGGTGAAACTATTCACACACATCTTTTTACTTCTTCTACATTCATGTTAATATTTGTCCTTTGATACTCTTCAATTCACTCAATCTGACGATCGAAAATTGAGAGGTGTGTGTGGAAAGTAAAAATGGGTATGAATAGCACCACCCTTTAGTTAATAATAAAACTACTTTGACACAAAACTAACACTTTCTAATATAGCTGAGTCATACCATTGTATGTGAATCTCATTTTTATTGGACAACATGTTAATAATGTGTCCTAGTATTTTAATAAATGTGACATTCACTGGCACACTCTAATAAAGGTGAGCGCTACCATTATATTTAGACCTCGTATAGTCATATATATTAGATAATGTGTCAACAAATGCGTAAAAATTTTGTGTCCAAATTAATAGCTTCATTAGTTAGTAAGTAAATGATGAATCAAATGCAAAGTCATAAAGCTATATATAATTTGAAAGCTCGAGAGTTCTATTATTAGGGCTAAAAGAGAAGGGATGATTGACATGTCAAGGGGGCCAAAGAGAAAGGCAATATCAATTTTTGCAGGGGTCTAAAAGACGAATGGATCGAAGTGGCTCTCTCTTTTGTGCAGTTAGGCGAACGTGTGAGTAAAAAAAAGTGAGCCTGTCGGGCCATTGGACCTCCCCCACAACCCATGCTAGCTCACGACTCATGACTCATCGCCATGCTGCTGGAGCCCCCCCCCAACCTCATCATCTTCCCTTTCCCGATGCTAACATGCATGCTCTTCTCTATTCAAGGACTTGTAATTACTTACACAAATTACATCGTTGGTATAAACATTTTTGTTGCACTAAGGCTTGTCTTTAATAGAACGACTTCAAACTAACAAACTTTTCGTTTTGTCAGGGTAATGGAAAAGTCTATTGTATGCAAACTTACCCTTATTTTACAAAGAGACTGTTTCCACGACTCGAATTCAAGCAAGTAAGTCTCTTTCTTAAGTACATATAAAATGGTCATCGTGATTATATATGGTCTTAAACTATCTTTAAGTTGGGGTCTTAAACTCATAATTTAGTATAAAATGTGATCATATAGCGTGCATCATTTGACCCAAATGGATGGTGCATTGTCAATTTGACAATAATCACACTCCTTTTGCTGATACTTTTTCACTTTCTTGCCCTAAAGGGTACAGATTTTAAACCCCACTAAAGTGATATCGTACTTAAAAAGAAGCTTGCATCGCATGCCACAACTTAATCAAGAATCTAGGACCATGCCTTGTGTACGTATCATTGTGGAGGTCGTTGTTTAGGCTTATCAAAACAATTAGTTTATATGGTAGGGTTTGTGACAACATATTTGCATTATTAACTTAAGATCGTGCTCAAAAGTACCTTAACGACGAAAATCTAATTGAGGTTTTCTTAGACTCAATAAAATAAAGTTAAAATTAAAATTAATTTAAAAAAAAAACATGTGTAACCCAATGAATTATGTACTACTAGAATTCGTTTGGAAGTGCTTATTAATAACTGAAAACTTTTTTAAAGAAAATGTTTTTGGGTTCCAAAAGCACTTAAAGTGCTTCCCTGCAAGAAGCATCAGCTAAGTATTTTTTGTAAGAAACACTTCAAGTATTTTTTATAAAGATTTACTTGCATTCTTACTATGTATCATGATTCCAAAATAATTTTACAAAAAATGCTTTGTCATTTTAGAAACACCGTCAAACAAGCCTTTAATTTGTATTGTATTTTCCTTCTCTAACTATGCATGTGTGGCACGCAACCTGCCCGTGAAGGAATTCTTCTGCTTTTCGTTGGGCCTATTTCATATATATTCTTCTTCGTACTAAATTAGGTCAACCTTGATTGGCCCAATTTTTAGGGTTTTCAAGCAATTGCTGCCATTATTGAGCTCAGGCCACATTCCCCACCAGTAATAAACATACAAAATGCGAATTAAGAAAAACCAACTTGCATTTCGTTTTTCACAATCCCACCTTTAATTGGATGATCATAACATAATTGTACTCTTCACGTACATATAATTAAACTTCAAATTAGCTCCAAATCCATATGTATCTAATTAGAGTATTACGTTATCCTATGATATTACAACGACGCCATTCGCATGCATCGTAATGTGGATTATTAAACTATAATTATCCGTTCCAACACGTGACTACAAGGTTGACTCAAATCTTGGGCCGTGATCAAGATAAAGATAGGGCGAATCAAGATTAATTATAATAATCAAAACATAGATGTTAATGTAACAACAATAAAATTGTGAGCCAAGCCAAATAGATTTCGTGATTTGTTAGGTTATAGTTTATTGAATTCATAGCCAACCATGTGAAAGGAACATTCTTTCGGATCAGCCGGTGTGTGTGACACAAACTCGCATTCGTCTCTGCCATTTGCTTCTGCAAATGTCCCTTCACATATATAATTTTTTTTTACCCTAAATCCCTCCCAAAGAGGCATAAATTTCCAAAATACAGCTAAGAAAAAGAAACTATCTCTTTGGAATTTTCCTGGTTTTATTAGGAAAAAGTTAAAATACGGGGAACATGTTAAATGGGAATTGGAGACATGTTGAGTGTGTTGTTTGACAGATTATATATGTTTTTTTTATTTTAAACAAATCAACGGGTGGTGAAGCCATGATAGTCCATTCTTTCAAGGGTCGGAGGACTCACTGAGACATTTTAGTTTTTTTCTAACCACCATCGTGTGATTCACACGCATCAAGATTCAAACTCAAGACCAACTGTGTGACCGTGTTGAATACAAGCCTAAAATTCGTCCCAATGGTGGTTGACAGATTATATGTTGGAAATGAACTTTGTCATGGCAGATGAATCCATGGCTGTCCATTTGGAATAAGGATCTACGTATCCATTGTGTGGCCCATGTGATATGTGCATGGTTTGGCAGCATATTCTAAATGTTGGGTTGGGAGGTGAAGGGAGGTTATATTACGTGCCTTAGATATAAAGTGATCATAAATTTATACGAGCTGAAACTTGAAAATACTTATCAGACAATTAAATGCTTTAAAGATGCTAAATTTTGCCCTACATAATCCCAATCTAAAGGACCGGATGGTACGCATCAACCCCCATATTCTCAAATCTGTTTGGAATTATTTAGGGTGTACAAGCCCCTAAATGTAACCTAAACCGACCTTTTTTCTTTTTCGAAATATAGTGATATATTTACATTAAAGGGTGGAGGAATAAATTGGTTTAAATTTGTTATCAACAAGATTACAACTGAACCGACCCCTTTTCTTTTCTTCTGAAACACAACGATATATTTAGACTAATGGGTGGGATAATAATTGGTCTCATCTCGCTGTCAACAAAAATCGAACCTAAACTCACCCTCATTTGTGGTTCTATATATTTCCATACTTTCTTTTGCTAGGTCATCTTTTGGTTCTGTAATTGTATAAGGTGTTAATGTTTGGAGGTGACTATTGCAAACTTAAATTAATATTCAGTTTAATTTACATTTTAGAAGAACTTATCAAACTCTTAGTGGATCAATGGAGGTCACCAACATATTTTTAGCAAGAAATGAGAAACCTTTATGGATCATGGGAGAATTATAACATGATTATAAATGGGATGGGAGTGTGCCCTACACAAACAATTGACATGAAAACTAGTTGTCACGTATGGTCCTTGTCTCAGACAGGATCAAACACTGTTTCCTCATATTTTCTCAAGGAGGAAAGTGTTCCAGCATTTCCGATATATATCTTACCTGTTCTTCCTCCGAGGTGATCCAATTCCATCAAGGTTTGTCTGATATTGTAATTTTCTTTAAAAATATATATATAATTTTAGTCTTTGTTTTCGAGCTGAGCAGCTCAAGATTTCCAGATTTCCCTAAGAAGTTTCATTATTTTGTTCAGCATTACAGCCCATCGTTTCCCTTAGCTGTTTCAACTGAAGCCCAAATTTGTGGGCCTTGTTAAAACTAAGCCCAAAAGTGCGGGCTTCTCATGTTATGGACATAAGGAAACAATTAAATAATATCAGGAAATGAATATCATAAAAGGATTTGTTATTTGTTCTGAAAAAAATCATCATCATGGGCTCTTCTTCTTTGAAAAATAAAAAGGAAAAAAGCGGTATTTTCAGTTCTTTTTAGTGCTTCAATTCCTAAAAGAAAATTATACGAGGGTATACGGTCTCTTCTTAAAGAGAGAGTAAGACTGTGTACGATCGATGTTTTGTCAACGTTCTCAAAGTGGAGAAGTTTGTTGGCATGCAATCACCATTTTTGCCTCGACTTGTCCACTTAAAGATTGTAGCATTTTTTAAAATCGGGTTCTTTGTCCATGGTTTCAAATCATTGCTGCGCACAGTGGCAAACATGCCAGAACATCCGAAACATTTACGCAGATTCCCAAACGAAGTCAGTGTTCTGTGTCCCAAGAGTCCCAACCCAAACACGTCAATCATTATACTAACATTAACATTATCTAATCTTAATTTCTTTTCACTATTCATTCCTTTGATATCGATGACGATCATGATCAAGTTGGTCAAATTACAAACTGATTAAGATTAACTACACGCAGCCGCGATTAGAGGGCAGGCGTCGCCACTTTAGTGGACAAGGTTGGGGCCGCGGTGGCCGGGATATTATTAGTCTTGGTTGGCCCGCCGCCCCTGTTCCTGTCGGGAGTGGTGGTGGTGGTGACTCGCTCGCAACGAGGGCACATGGTGAGTGTGGATGCCGGAAGAGGGTCGCAACTGTGGGGGTAAAGCACGGTGGGCGGGCTGACTTTCATTGCCCTCAGCTCCTCCACCTCCTTTTGCAGCCGCCTGTTCTGTTCAGTCAGCGATCCGAACCATCTCTTCAGATACTCGCATTCCATCTCTGTTTGCTTCAGCTTGCTCCTACAAACTCACCGTCCACGTTAATTAATTAATTAATTAAAATATCAAAATCATAAATTGTTTTAAAATTTAAAAACCTGGAAAACTACGTGCACGCGTAAGTAAAAGATAACTCATATGTTATGACATACGTGAGTTACAAAACACTTGCAAACCTTTTAATAAGCACGTGTTTATGTATGTATGTATGTGTGTATATGCATCTATATATACAATGAACTTCAGTTGAGCGATTCCTCAAATACTTTACATATGTATGCGTACAAACGAACTTAAATGGGGAGGAGGAATCATCACCTAAAGTTCGGATGAGAAATCGAACCCAACACCCAAAGTGTAAGGATAAATACTCTTAACTAACTAAGTTGTAAACCCCGCTCCAAATTACTGAAGAATCCAAATGTTATCGAATTGAATATGTTTATATATTCAAATTGTTTACATCATTAAATTATGAAATACACGTACGTAGGTACGTTTTGAGCAAAATATGAGACGCGTGGTGGATGACATAGATGAAATCATAAATGCATGGCAACAAGTCCAAAGAGTAAAGACTACCAGGCAGCTAGAGTGAGTCATGAGTCAAAGAAAGCACTTATTAGAGTGATGGAACTGACGAGCACACGAGGTTATCAAACACCAGAAACATCGTCTTCTTCATCAATGCTCACTTCTTTATATCATCATTATGTTTGATTCTTAAGAACAAAACTATTATTATCTTTCGAGTAATATTACACTTACTCCATATTTGTATTATTTATATACAGGTAGGGCCTACTAATACACTTGAATCTCATCTCAAAAATAATGATACAAATATTTAGTAAGAATAACATTTTTGTTATCTTCCTTCAAAATATCATAAATTTGAGTGTCTACTTTACCCACCTAATTGTAGCTGCCAATATTATTAGGGTTAATTATGTATATGTTACACTTAAAGTTTTTGCCAAAAAAAAGAAAGAAAATTCAATCATTTTCTTCCGAGGAATCTAAGAACAAGAATATTATGACATCTTTTAGCATAAAAAAGGAAAACTACACAAAAAAATCTTAGCAACGAATACCCAGAGTTCGACATTTTATTATACACACATATACACATAGATATATATATATATATATATATAGAATTAGATTCAAATGATAAATGCATAAGTATAGTTTGTGAAAAGGACATAACGAGAGATATAAAAATCCCAACCACCAAGGAAACAAAAATTAATGGAAGGGCCAAAGAAAATAAAGTTCCAAGTCCATGAGGTGATGCTGGCTGAGCTATTAGGGTACACACTTACCTGGCCCTACGATTTTGAAACCACACCTCGACCTGGCGTGGCCTCAGCTTCAACTGCATCGCCAACGCCTCTTTCTGTTTCTACAAAACATTCCAAAACTGTATTTATTATTTTGAACAAGATGAACATGTTTAATTTAGTAATTAATATATATTTAATTAGTTAAGATCACAGACTACTAATTATAATTAAGCTTACAGGGTTCAAGGTGTGGTTTTGTCTGAAGCTCTCTTCGAGAAGACGAGACTGTTCCTTTGTGAGACGAAGCTTCTTGCGGGGAGGACCCGATCCGTTGCTGCTTTCTTCTTCGTCTTCCATGCCCGCTGTCATCCATTCTTCTTGATCTCCTTGTAGTGATGGTATTTGGTTTATGTCCAAGTCTCTCACTGCAAAACCCAATTCACAATTTTTAAAGATTTTTTTATACCAACGATATCGAGGGAGGGGGATTAAACTTCAACTTGTTATGAATTTAATATATATGTACCAATAAAAACAGTTTTAAAATAAATATTAGCCACCAAACCTGTCTCTGTGAGACATGACAAAGAGAGAGTTTATTAGGGTTTGTTGGGGGTGGAAGAAAAAAGGAAAGGCATGCAAGATATCCGGGTGAAAGATCGTATCGTATATATGATAAGGATCAACCAAAAACAAAAAAATCGTATGTTTAATAAAAAATTTAAACAAAAAAAAGAAAATATTGATAGCTAATAATATGTTTCCAAATAATACACAAACATCAATCGATTAAGGCTAATTAATAGACTTTAAAAAAGAAAAATATGGTGTAGAAAAATGAAGGAAGAAAAGCTTCGGTGGGTTCATTTACCAGATGAATTAGGAAAAGACGGGTACGAAGAGAAGCCAGGTACGGATATAGTCAACTCCAAGCTCGACGATCCCATCGCCGTCGGTAAAACCGCCATAGAAACCCTAGCTAGTCGCAGGTGTGAGATAGAAGATGAAGAATGAAGAGGAAGAAGAAAGGAGGACGAGATAGAGAGAGAGAGAGAGAGAGAGAGAGAGAGAGAGGGGAAAGGGTAAAGTAAAAACAGGAAGAGACAGAGATGAAAACCACACAACTAGATGATGAAATAGAGAGAAAAAGTTAAAAGGTGTAAAGGTCAAATAAATAGTGGGTAGAGAGAGAGAGAGAGAGAGCAACAAATAAAAATGGGGGAAGGGCAAAGGAGTAAAAAAAACATAAAAAAAAGTATGGATGGGACGAGGATATATGGAGTTTGGGCTAGGGTTTTCTTGACCGTTGTCGTCAAGTCAAAAGGTCTGACCGTTCGTTTGCGAGGTGTCGGACTGAAGAGAAACCAGTGTGGGAGAATGACCGGCAAGCTCTCCTGTTGAAGGCGATTACAAAAGAGAGGGGGTGTTGAATGGTGGTTGTCGGTTGAAAGGTCAGCCGGTGAAATGATTGGGAACGATGAGTTTGGTTCTTGAGCCTTCTTTCTCAATTTTGTCACGAGAGAAGAACTTACATGAAATAGATAAATCTTTATATTGTATTCGAAATTTTGTTGTTACAAATCTTGTAATATACTTGTTTCATATAAATCTTCTTTCAAATGCTTACAACATTTTCAATGAGCCCCTATACCCTTTAAAGGAAAAGGGATAACCTATTAAAGCACCGACCCATAAACATATACTTCATGATAACTGATTGAATCAGGGCCGTTGAGAGTTTGATCAGCGATGCAGAGGAAAAAGGATGGCATGGGGTGGGGCACATTGGATGTAATTTTTTGTTTTAAATTCTAATCTTTTTATTTAAAATATGCTTAAGGTGGGCATATATATTAATGGGACTGTGCTGTTACGTAGTGTTTGGATGATGGGAAAATTGAATGCTGCTCGAGTTATCTGATTTGCTGGCACAAAAGGAGTTGTAACGTTTGCTCAAGAAGAAAATGACATAATTCTGGGCAGGTATGGTATTTTGGAGCAGAGTCATTTATGAAGCAATTGAGCGTTGCTAATTTTCTGCAACCTTCTTAATTTTTAATGCCTCTGTAATTGCACCAACGACTTTAGAATAAATTTTCTGGTGTGGACTCTGGAGACCGTTTTGGGGCTTTAATGCCTCTCTCTCTCTCTCTCTCTCTCTCTCGCTCTCTCTTCTGTAATGAGCTTATTGTTACAATGACGTTTTGGTTCAGTAATACATTATTTTAACAACCGAAAGATATTTACACAATATTACATTATGGAATCGAGACATCACTATTTCGGTGAACCTATTTCGTAGAAATCCATTTTTATCCCGATGGGACGTTATAGGAATTCATGAGGTTCTACTACTAATTATTCATGGGTTGGAATTTGGAAACATGTTCTTGTTTTTCCAAATTGCATCAGAAGACTAGTCAGCAAAATTAAAATAAAGATCATAATTATTGAGGAACAATTAATGGAAGATTTATCTAGGAATATTAAAAACTGAAATGTATAATCAGTAGATTTGACCATGAATATCAATATCCAATGTCCCAAATAATTGATCACCTCCCTCCCTTTTTCGAGATAATTTTATGTGTGCCGGAAACACGGTTTAGTACATCAAATGTTATAATATAAGTGATTATAATTTTTTTTTGTAAGTATCTAACCACTTGTAGTATTACATTTAGTATATTAAACCGTATTCCTATCACACTAAAAAATCTCTCCATCTTTTCACAGAGTGAAGAATTACAACCGGCCATTTGTTTTATAATGTATGTCAAAAACCAAATCAAACACTTGTGAGACACACCGACATTTCTATTGGTTAAAGTCAGACAACTGGCGTGAAATTATCATGTTGTTAAACCCATCTAACATCATTAGTCATTTTACTTTAAATGAATGCTAAAGTTTTAACAAAGTATATATGATGTTTACAACGACTTTTACTGTGCACCCAAGTGCCACACTAATGCTCCTGAATTTTCCAATGTGCGTCAATTCTCAATATTCTCTCACACGTTTGTTCACATGTTGTGAAGTTCACGTTAAATATATGAACGATACATCTTAATAAGTCAAGTGAAGAACGTGTGACTATTAGGCTTCACGTGTGGTGCAAACTTAAGTTGATACATGAAGTTCAAGTTCCATCATGGAAAGGCAATTGGAGAAGTAGTCTTAGCCTTAGCCTTAGCCTATGTAAGATTTCTTAACTTTGTTCGTGAAACAACTCTCTACATCCCTTATGAATACAACTAGATAGAAGAGTAGTTGATTACTTTTGCATGAAGTTGAAGAGTGACTTTGGTGCAACAAAGCGTATAATATATATTTTCGTCTTTCTATCTATCACACATCAAATGAGGAGAAAGACAGGCACAAAAAATGTATACTCGTTACACCTAAATATTCTCATTTAAGTAATATTACTGAACCTTGTTACGTGAAAAGAATGTCAAATCATCAGCCGTTGGTCTTAGTTCAGCTTCTCTCGCATGCAGTCATTTGTGCACACAGCACGGCCTTCCCACGCCCTCATGCTCAGTCATTGGGCCAAATTCTATTTATTTTTCTTTCTTTTTATTTATTTGATTTTTCGGTCGTAAAGTCCTAACTTTTTAGTAGGAATTATTATATTTCTGAAGAGAAAAGAGAATTATTATTGCATATTTGGCAAAGGCGTGGGGGTGGGGGTGGGGGTCCACTTTGATCATTACGTGGAAGACAAGTCATGGAACATGGTGGCTGTGAACCCCACTTTTGAATGATTGGTAGGGAACCGTTTGGGACCCACTTGTCTGCTTGTCCCCCTCTCGTGAATTGCTGATTGGGCATTCCATCAAACATTGCCGTGCCTGTAATACCAGTGGATAACAGGTGGGTCCCTCCGTCAACCTTGTGGTTTCACACTCACTCGTGACGATGGTCGCACCATTACGTGATATCATCAACTTACTCAACAAAAATGCTAAAGAGACTCTCGCAAAAATAAGATTCTTCATAAATTCTTTGACACACCATGTTTTTGATACAATGATGTATAATGATGATAAAAAAATTAACGTCAAACTTTGAAGTAACAGATAATCCTCAACAATTTCGATGACTTCATTCTGATGTATACTCCTCGACAATTTCAAGAAACTATTTTTCTTTGCGAAAGTCTCAAATGATAATGTAAAATTTCAAGTCGTCATAAAACACTATGATATAATCGTATTCTTCTTTACTTTTACTTGCGTGTCATTGCAGAAAAAAGAAATATGGACCTTAAATATCTCTACGCGACATATGGTCCAACAGAACGACAAAGATTTCATTTTCTACAAATGTTCGCATTGACTTTCTTCAATAATTTGTGTCAATATATTCTCAAGTCCTTTTCTGGGCAGGATGTTCAGCAGATAAGGAGAGCTATACAAGGAAGTACGTGAGGAGCAGTCTTTCAATGAAAATTACTGAATTTCGTCGAAAAATCGTTACGTTCTGAAACAGAAATTCGTAGAGAAGACGAGTCGATTAAGGAAAAGAATCTCCTAAACATGTGAAACCTAGGAAGAGATCAAAACGTTAACAGAAGCAAAAACATAAAAATTACATAGCAGATTACTCACTTTCTTTATACATCTTTGAGAATTCTTCGAAATTCAAGCAAGCGGATTGTTAGGATGCTGACATATCAAATTATGTAAAAAAATGCCTACTAAACAGTGATTAACAATCTACTTCAATGGCAAAAAGCACGTTTGAATATGGCATTCCTTTTCGCTGGTGTGCAAAAATGGGCATGTCTGCATATTCAGTGTTTGCTCTCCAAATTCGACCAGGGCAACGTTTTTCATGACTAGCCATTACCAGTTGCTCCCCTTAACTCTACGTCACGACTTTGCTCTATTCCAAGGAGGCAACCTAAGAAATCGAGCAAACATCTTCAGCAAGACATCACTGTTCTTTGTGTACAAGTATTTCTAATCAAACTAATTCAGATCACAAGTACAACCCTGAAGTTGGAGTTGGGATTACCGCTAAGGAAATCACGCAGAAGCATCAAGCTTGCAACAGATATGGTATACACGACATGGTTCCCGAAAGCAATACACAAAAAAGGACAAGATGCCATCAATACAACCAATAGAATCTTGTATAGATTTGCAAGGTTCCAAATTTTACCACGACACTCAGTCACCCAGAATAGACAGCGGCTGTCTCATGCTAAGCTCTGCCTTAAGCAGCGGGAATTGCTCCAAATCATGGGAAGCACCTAAAACTTTCTGCAAAAAGAATCACCGCATGTGTTATACTACATGAACCAGAGCATCAACCAAACATGAATTGCAGAGTCAACTATGCATTTGTACCATAAAATAATTAAACCTTAAACAGCAAGAAATTCTTGCACACAGATTAGTTTTATGTACTAATAGTCTAATAAATAGAACCATGTAAAAGAATGGTAACCAAGAAATTATCACTGAATTTATAAGATTAAAAGGACACAGCAGGAGTACTATTTACCAGAGCAGCAAGATGCGCTTCTTGTAAGATATTGCCATCTACTTCCAATCTTGCAATAGGAAACTCTGGAAGATGTCCTGACTGTTTCTTGCCAAGCAAGTTACCAGGTCCACGTAAAAGAAGGTCCATGTTTGCCAAATAAAAACCATCTGACGATTTCCCCAGGACCTTCAGCCGAGTTAGACTACTGGAAGAAGATACTAATAGTAAACATTTAGACTTTCTCACTCCTCGTCCAACTCGTCCTCTAAGTTGGTGTAACTGAGCTATCCCAAATCTCTCAGCATTCATAACAACCATCATAGATGCATCCGGAACATCAACACCAATCTCAATTACTTGTGTGGAAAGCAGTATATCTGTTTCTCCAGATCTGAACTTTCTCAATGCTTCATCTTTCTCATCACTCTTCATCCTTCCATGCAACAATCCACAAGTGTAGCCCTGAAACCTATCAGATATAGCTTCAAAATCTGCCGCAGCAGCACGAAGTTGCGGCAGCTGTTCAGATTGTTCAATAACTGGATACACAAGATAGACTCTCCCTCCTTCTTTTAACTCATCCAGCATCATCTGTTACATGCTATATCATTTGCGTCAGAAATAATAAAATCAAAAGGGTAGAATTAGTAAAATCTTTCTATTCTAGTCTAACAAGAAAATAATATATCTGTCATTCTGTCAAGTATCTTGTGAAGACGACCATGATCTCTTAACAAAATGATGAACCCAGTGATGTTCTTCATTTTTTTTTTCAAATCCAAAACCTTTTCTGCACCAAATGGCTTTATTGTGTTTCAAAAAAAAAAATGTATATATATATATATATTAGAGTCCTGTAACAAAGTTAAAACAAGGACAATCACCTCATAAACATCCTCAAATCCATTGTCATTTCCTTCAATGATGAATGTCTCAACTGGAATTCTTCCTGGAGGTAAGTCTGTTATCTGTTATTCAAAGAAAATAGAAACGAAAGAATCAACAAATACTCAATACAGGGTATCAACCTATACAAATGCAGCAGCCACCAAGAAATAGAATACCTATTAACTTTTAAACTGAATATAGTTCCCTTTTAAATTAAATGTGGCACGAACACCTTGATTGCAATAAGAAATAATCTTAGATTGGTTTATTTCTTAAGAAAGTTCAAATTTTCACTGCAAAAGACTTTAAGATTAGGCATCTCAATGTAATTTTTAAAGTTTAAATCACAGTCTTGGAGCCTGATATCCAAATGAGAAAAGAGAAATGCTTACCTGTGTCAATGACATATCCCCATATAAAGCAAGAGCAAGTGTCCTCGGGATAGGAGTAGCTGACATGGCAAGAACATGAGGAGCCATATGGTTGTCACCTTTTGAGGTCACATCTGAACTGGCGGCTACCATTCTAGAATTTATGGAGGTATAGTATAGCTGCAGGGATTAGTGCCTCAGTTAGCTCATCTTACAAAAAGAATTACAGTATAAAACGGAACCATTTCAAATTTCATGGAAACATCGAGAACAGCAAGCAGCATCCAAGGACATTCTAAAATGTTCACACAAAATGAACTCCTAGAACAATACCATCAAAATCTAATCATCCATATTACATAAGGTCTAAATGAAACAGTTTGCATACAGGACAAAAGTGGAGTACTACACCACAGAGGACACAACTAGAATACTTGGTTCAATTAGAAGCAAACAACCTTACTGTTAAACCGTCCTCTCTGGATCACACCAAAACGGTGTTGTTCATCCACCACTGCAATGCGTAATGCAAAGAATTCGATTTTGTCAGATATTAAACTGGTGGTTCCAACGACCATCGATATTTCTCCAGTCCTGAGACCCTGATACACGCAATATCAATGTTAGTATCACTGCCAATAACTAGGATGTGAAACGTTATACTTAACAAAACAAAAGAAGTGGACATTAATCCATGCCTCAAGAATTATCCGTGATTGTTTTGATGGGGTTGAGCCTGTTAGTAAAGCAATTGAAGGTTTTCGTTCAACATCCTCCATATTTTCAAGCAATTTATTTAAGTGCTCGTAATGCTGGACTGCAAGCAACTCAGTGGGAACCATGAAAGCTGCCTTTACATGAAACAAATAAAAACAACCAGTTACCTTCTGTTAGTAACAAAGATCATAACTCCTATTACATTACGAAAATATAAATGAAAAAAGGTCTGAAATGAAAACCTTTAAACAAGACCAACCTGATATCCAGAGCCAATAACCTCCATGCATGCTAGAAAAGCTACCACGGTTTTCCCACAACCAACATCACCCTGAAAATAAGTGTAACAACATTTATAAATCAAGAATGTCCTTTAGTTTCAAGTATACCTACTGTGCATGCCATGGTAATTAGGATGAAGAACACGGGCGGCCAATTTGAAAAGAGAGAGGAACAGAATTAGGGCAAAAGTCTAGGCTTAAAATTGTATTCAACCAGATGCCAAGAAAAAATTATCATGTTTTGTCCTCACTTTTTTTTATATATACTGCAGGTGCTCTAGTTACATGATATGAACGTCAAAATCAGCATCAAAATACTGTTTCATATTGTAACAAATATGAACAATTGGATACATCCTGTACACAAGATTACAACCTGCAAAAGCCGATTCATAGGAACTGGTTGCCTTAGATCCCAGATGATTTCTGAAACGGCAGTGAGTTGACTAGGAGTAAGGGTATATGGAAGAGCTTTTGAAAACTTCTTGGTAAGAATGGACCATTCCTTCGTGTAAGCAGCACTTGATTCAGGTTTCCTGTACTTATCCAGCAATCCATCTTTCTCTATTTGTGTACCAAGACCTTCAAGCATTTGGTAAAGGCGCGCTAACTGACGGGCAATAACAACTAGGTCAGTTCAAACTTCAAATCTAAGAGAACTAATTACGAAATTTTAGTCAACATCACCTGCAGGTAAAAGAACTCATCAAATATTAGCCTTTTCCGAGCCAAATCAGCTTCGTCCATACTCTTTGGTTCGTGAATCCCCTTGTACGCCTGTATTATTAGTGCAAAAAGGACATCAGCTCAAGTTTTTCTGTATGCCAAAACAAGTTATTAAAAGAACAGCAAGGGGTAAATATAGCTAGTTCTTTAATAAATACAGGTAAACACTAAGACAAAGTGATGCCAATTGAGATGCTAAGGTTCACAGGGGTATAAGTGACCATAGTCAAAAGTATGAATTTCAATTGCATATATGCTTGATAATAAGGACACAAGTGAAGTGTCTTACATCATGAAGGCTTAACAGCCCAAAGTCCTGAGTGATATTTTTAGGAATAGGATCAACATCGACAGCCAAAACTTGTGCAACTCTGGGACAAGTAAAAATAGTAAAGATTTAGTTTACTGATATTGGAGCAAGTTACAAAGAGATTACCTAATTAATACCATAGTTCAAATAATTCAAAACAGCTGCAAAGAACTAAGAAGTAACCCCCATAGGATGAACGGAGTAATGTTATTGCATAAATGATAAACACAAAATTAGATTTCTAATATTGAGAAACCAGCCACGCGCCCAGAAACTGGGGTATGTTGTATAAAGAACTTAGAATAAGGGGAAACTAAATTAGAATCGGAAACTATAACCCCGCTAAAGAGAGTGGTTATGTTATGATGTTAGAAATGAAGTTACATAAAAGGTCAGAGGCACAGACCTTGCAATGATGTCTCTCAAAACATTTGGATCTAAACCTCCTTTTGAAGGGTATATAGGATAAGGCCTCCCTTTTGCATGAAAAGACACTTCATTTTCATCTTTAAGCACATCAATATTGTATTCTCTCATTTCATAGTGACCTTTGACAGGCATTGTCCTTACCTATGTTAAAAGGCAACATGGTAAGTACAAGGCTCTAAATTAAGACAAAGATTAGAAAATGAATGATAAAATCTCAAGATAGCAATTGTACAGAATTTCATAAATCGATTCTGTTTACGCCCTAATGGTTTCAGCACATGAAAGGGTGAGCCAATTGATGTGGATCCATTGTCACTAAAAGTGCTGCAAAGTGCACTAACCAGCGAGTGACCATAAACTCATCAAAAGGTCTTTAAGGTAGTTCACATGCAGGACTCTAATTTCTGGTAACATTACAGGAATCCAAAGAGTAATCAGCAAACAAAGACCAACAACAACAGAAGAGTTACACATAGATTCTGTCATCTTCCATCCAGTAGAAACTGGCCCAAAGTAATAGTTTATAGGTGCGCAGAAGGAATATGAATATTACTCTCTGGACTATATTCTTCTTGTGATTAACTATATATTTGAGCACCAAGTAACAGTCCAAATAATAATAATAATAATAACACAAAATATCATTGCATTCTAAACCAATAAAAACAAATTGAGGAGCAAGCAATTAGTCCAACAACAGAGAAAAAACCCATAAGCTTACCTTGCCACTAACACATACAAAGTCCCCCTCTTTATGCTTTCCCTCAACAAGTCTAAGAAAGGGTAGAGAAGTAAAACGAGCGCCACGAAAAAATTTCTTCAGATGCAAAGAAATTGTCTTCTTTCTTCTACCATCAGCAGAATCATTCAAATGCTCAGTTGATTCATCGTCCATAATTTCGCATCCAACAACTACCTCAATAAATGAGAAAGAACTACTAGCTTTGATTCCCCTGTAACAGAAGAGGTAAGATATCGATTTTAAAAACAAAAACTTTACCGCAGATTGGCAACAAAAAGTGAGTGAATAAGTGGCTACGTACACAAGTATAAATGCATGTAACATGTCTAGAGAAGCTTTACCAGATATGAGATACAAAAGCACAATCCTAGCATATAATATGTCATGAAATGTTCTTCATTATGTCATTGAACTAGATATCCATTTATCTCGTACAGAAACAGATTAACATCACTTCATATGTCAAAACATCAAGGTGTCGGTCACCAAGTAAATTACATTCCCACTTGTGCCTCATTGTTTTTCGAAACATATTTGTTTCTCATTATTTCATGAACCATAACTATGAAACAAACTAAAAACCTTAACGAGTAAGCTAACTTGGAATCTATCAGATTACACATGTAGGGTCTTACCTCATCCAATTGATAAGGTTAGCACAAAAAAAAAATTCAATAGATATTTTGGAAAAAATTTAATACCTCGAACTTAATACCTTCCCAATGAAAATCAAGTACTGTCCATCATCAATTTTCATCTGAGCATTCTGTAAATCCGCATAGGTCCGAGGAAAGTGGTGAAGCAATTGCCGCAACTGTATGGAAACAAAACCAAAGCAATACAAACACAAGGCTTCTTTCAGATTCTCGATAAGAAGAGTAATGTGTCCTTTAACATAATTTCCTAAAACTCACTGTATGAAAGCCACAGTCTTCTAGCTGCCGACAGCGCTTCTTAGTTATTCCAGGTATGAAACTGATAGAACTGTCCAGGGAAAACTGAACAGACCCAGTATGATTTTGTGATTTAAGCAAAACCTTGCTAGAAGATTCCTCCACAGGAACTGTTTGATGTGAGTTTTCCTCAATAACCACAGTTGCGGACTGGAGAAATAAGGGCAGTATTTAAGAATCTTCTCTTAATAAGGAATTTTTTACACCTGTATAAGCAGGATACATAAAATCCCATATTTACAAAAGATAATCTTCGTACCTGCTCTTCACACATAGTATCAGACAGAAATCCTTCACCACTTTGAGTTGACAAAAGCATCCTTTCATTGAAACTGGTGGTTCCATCATACAATTCCACCCGAGGGGAACTACCTAAAATGATTGATGGAAATCGTGCACACACCAAGGAGACATCAAATTCATCTACGACATCTCTAACATGCATACCGGACTGCTTTTCAGCTCCTTCATTCTCAATCAAATCATCAAGACTATCATAACCAACCAAAGCAGATACCTACAAGAAAAAGAAACAGAAGAATATGAAGAGCAAACTTACGCATTCCCTTAGTCAGGATCCATGCACATCAGAAAAAGTTACAGCAATCAAACACAAACAGTACAACTTTTTGTCAATCAAACTTGTATAGACACAAAACCTACCTTATTGAGCAACTTTGACCGATCTGAGATGCTTGCTATGCCAAAAATATCTACTTCCTCCAAATTATTTTTGACAAGACTATGCTTTGGACGAGAACATAATCTCGATACCGTTGAAAAGAGAAAATTACTGAACCTGCAAATCGAAATAGGCATGCCCACCTTATTACTTACATGCTGTCATAACAACAACAACAACAACAACAAAGCCTTTTCCCACTAAGTGGGGTCGGCTATGTGAATCCTAGAACGCCATTGCGCTCGGTTTTGTATATAACTTCCAGACCTCATTTTTCTACCCAAAGCATTCCGATATCCCTTCTCAGCTTCAAAAGCAATTGCACTTCTCAATCCATTCCCGCTGAAGCACTGAAATGGAAACTCTTTGTCAATCATCATATAAAAGATGTCAACTTTAGCCCTATGTTTTCAAATAGTTTTAGAATATGTCAAAATAATTTACAACAACATAGCAATTACGCATTAGCCACTCCCAATCACTCTCATCCCGCACACGCTTGCACTCTATTTTCCTCCTCAAACTCCACAACGCCGGACATGGACACTAGCATATTATCACATTCTATATGCTCAAAACCGCAGGCATTTTGTTTCTCTTGGGCCATTTTCCCGACTCTATGCATTGTGATTCTGCAACTCTCACTCAAATCTCACGCGCTACCGAAAATTGTAAGATATTGCAGCTATTTCCTTCCGATAGTATTGAAGTTTGACGTGAATTCTCAACTCTCACACGGCACGATACAGAAACACGATTCGGTAAGTTCAAAACTTCAAAGCATCTTAGTAAGCAACTCTACCACATCTTACTTGGAAATCGAAAATTCTTCATAAAATTAAGGCTGATGATGAGAGGAAATGGAAAAGTTAGAAACTTACAGGTTGCACAGCTGAGACTGTGGGTGCCATGTGCAACAAGCAAGCTTACCCCAAGAACTGGACATCCCTAAACAGCAAAAACATCAAAACCTGCACAGGATTGAGTAAACAGGTACACAGGAAGAATGCAAAGTGTCAAAACATGGAAAAATTAACCTCGGAAACAACATTCTTAACATTGACAAGGAACAAGACAACGTCAAATTTGTGATTTAACATTAAAATACCAGATTATGGCTCGGAACTGAAAGGAAAGTCTGTTTCTTTCTCTCTCTCCGTCGTCTAGATATCTCTCACTCCATGTCTGAGGATACTTTTCTCTGTTTTTCGATTTACTCGTTCAGAAAAGGCCGGGCCTTTACCGGCCCAGACAGATCCTCACGAACCCCGTTGGGCCTTTCTGAAAAGTTACAAGGACGAAACTGAAAAACCGAGTAAATACGGAAGCTATTAGTGCAATTTAGCCATTTTAGCGATTATAAATACAGTGAGATGCAAAGTTTTTCAGCTAGGGTTTCGACAGAGAGAGGGCGCAGCGTCACAGCGTGTTAGCAGACGTTTGGGTTTATGTTCATATCTTCCTTCTGCAATTTTTTTCTCAAGTTTGAATGAATCAAAGGGCTGAGGCAAAAGGGCAGAGCAATGAATCAATGGCTCTGATTTACTTGTGGGTTTTCTACAGGACCCCCTGCCATGGAAGCCCTGGAGATCAAGTCCTTCCACAGATTTTACTCTTCTGTGGGAGACGATGGCATCATAGTACGGGTTTTGTGCTTGAATGATGGGTTGGTTGTGGATTTGGAAATTTGGGACTCCCATATCTTCCCTGCCCGCCTCCTTCCCATTTTTCTCCTCTCACAAACCCGCCTCCAATCGCCATTACATTCCCCCAATCATCCCAAATTACATTTTTGTCCATGTAACAAATTTTTTTAATAAATAATATTATCTATACGTAGACAAATACTTAAGTTTCACAATAAGTTAACAATAATATGGTTCGAATTTTTTTCTGATGAAAACCAAACATAAGACATCGATGAATAACTTCAAATTTTATGTGGTTCATTTAATTGAAATTTTGAGAAATTCATTAATTTTGATCAAATTTAATTAATTTGTAAATATTTTATATAAATTTTTAATTCAATTATTTAATATTAAAAAAACTCAATAATCAATAATCAAATTTATTGGTTTTTCAATTGAAATTCGAGAAATTTAAGGAATGTCTTTTTGTTTAAATTTAGTAAAGTTCTCTATTTAACCTCAATGATCAAATGTATAGGAGATTATTCTTTGTAAGTTTGTTCTTTTTTTTTTTTTAAAGAAAAATTAACGAAAATTTCAAAAAAACTTTATTTTTAATAAGAAACTATTTTTAAAGGTATAATGAATAGTATCATAGAAAGGTATAAATAGTTTTTTATTAAAAGTGAACAATATCGGAAGTGTTTTATTAAAACTTTTTTTTTTATACCTTTTCACTCTTTCTTTTTTTTTTTGAATAAAAAGAAGATGTGAAAAGTAAAAAATAAATATAGGAGATAGTAATAAACATAAATATTGAAATGTATTGTAAGAAATGGAGAAGATGCGTATTTATAAAATAATAAAATTCTTACTTCTTTAAATTAAAAAATTTCACTATTGAATTAATCTTGATCGTTGATTTCTCTGTACATTTAAAATTAGACGCACTGGAACATGCCATGTGGCACAAAGGTAATTTTATCAAAAAAACAAAATTACAGTTCAATGAGTATAAAATTACGCACTAATAATCAAGCATTTTCTTTCATGTGGGCAAGCATGCTTGCTTAAAGACTTCACAAGTGGACAGAATTGTAGAGCGAATCATTGGGGTTGTTGGTAATGATGAGAATCTTCAAAATGCAAGATGCCAAATAAATTGTCACATTGTGGCTCACTTATAATAAAACTGAGATGACAGTAAAGTTAAATAACCTTGAAATGCTATGCATCTGACTCAATATCTTAAGTCATTTTCAACCGAACGAGGGTCAAAGAGCTTCCTTTAGCCCTATAGTCATGCAAGAAATTATATTTTAATGAACAGTACTAGGCCATATTTTATATCATCTTCAACCGAAGGGACCAAAGGATCATAGGCCAAACGTAATTTATTATTTTAATTAAATTAATATGATTAATTAAATTAAACTACCATATTAAAATAAGGTTTTCAGACATATTTTGAATGTTACTGGTCGCCAAATGAATAAGTATTCATATTTCTTATCTTCGTATAATCTCAATAATTTTTTTGATAGGATTTCAAGTAACATGTGTCGCTAACGTGAGTAACTCTCCAGGTTTCTAATCTTTATGTAATCTCAATCATTTTTCGGATAGGATTTCAAGTGACACGTGTCGCTAAAGTGAGTAACTCTCTAGATTTCTTATCTTTATGTAATCTTAATAATTTTTCGATTAGGATTTCAAATGTCACGTGTCGAGATGTAATTGGTTTTACAAATTTTAGATAGGATTCTTATCTATGTGACACTTCTTATCTTCAGCTTTCAATGTTGTAGGTATAGTGTAGGTATTTATAGGAAAAAAAATTAGATTTTTTTTTAAATTCGTCCAAAAAAAAAAAACAAAAATTCAAATTCCAACGGTAACCTAACTGCAGCATGATGTTAGCTAGTTGTTGTCAGCTGGCGTCATGCTAACACTAGGTAGCCGTTGGCATTCAAAAAGGCTGATTTGGAGGGCTGGCAAAATGTCAACCTTGACATTCTGGAGCTGGAAGGTTGGCAAAATGTCAACCTTAACATTCTAGCATTGAAGGGCTAGCTAGCTGGCTACCCTATGACCATTTGGGCGGGTTGGTTGGAGATTACCTTAATGGATAGAGTGTTGGATTTATATCCATGCGTCAAATGTTCAAAACTCTCTTTCCTAAATTATTGTAATAATTTTGAATTCTCCTCATTCCTTTGATGATAATAGAATTAAAAACAAAAAATAACTTTGATGTGTTTGATCTAATAATACATTGTTGTAGAGAAAAACTTATGCATAACAATGAATTATTTAATGAGAAACGTCACGTGGCGGTGAACAAAGCCAAATACACATTATTAAGCAAGCTTAATATACAAAATTATCACCCAAAATACAATAACCACGAAAATTAAACTTCACAATAATATCACCCATCAAGAAACCAAGAATGTCACACATTGCCTGAGAACTCAAGGGCTGTTCAGCAGGTACAGTATGCCCTGGCCTTTAAACCACAGCACTGCTCAAACACCCCCTTGCCCAAAACCCAGTCTTCTATCATCACCTGCGCCCTCACCGGCTGGTCCGCCGGCAAAAGATGCCCTGCCCCTGAAACCACAACATGGCTCAAGCTCCCCCACTTCTGCACATACCCACCAACCTCTCCCCTCACCTTCCAAACCTTCCGCTCCGCCGCCATAAACTTCCCAATCCCCTCCCACTTCAGCGTCTTCATCCACGCCTCCGTTGAAACGATGCCGTCTCTCAAATCGTACTGCCCCTGGTACAGCAACACCTTACTCTCCTTCAGCAGATACTCTACCATGTACTTCACGCTCTTCATCACGTCCTCGTGCAATATGCCCCCTACAAAATCACTGCACGATTCGAAAGGCGCCTCCCCTTTGGCCCCCAGCGCCGCCTTCACCGCCTCGTTGCTCAGCAATTCATCCACCAAACTCATCTTATAAGGCTCATTCTTCGTGTAGTCGTATAATGTGGCTAGCCCCGTCATGTCCTGCAGCGTATTCAACACTCTGTTTCTCGCATCCGTAGCCGCGCTCCAGTTCATCGCCGCCGTGAACCCTACCGCCTCCAATTGCAGCTTCTCCAGCTGCCTCCTCTGTTTCTCATTGATCAAACCAGAGTAGAAAGCGTTGACGGCGTGAGTGTTCACCTGAATTATGGGGTCTGTGAGACCGTCTCCGATCGCAACGCCCTGCAAGTTCACCCCTTTAGACCCAGCTGGCAACTCAGCGTTTCTTTTCAAAATATAGTACCCGATCGCCGGAACATACTTCCCGGCGTAGCTCTCGCCGGTTATGTACATGGGTCGGGTTTTGAACGCCGGGTCGAGCTCAATGAACTTGGTGATCGCGGCAAAGAGGTGTATCGCGACGGAGTCCTGGTCCCTCGGGATCTCTGCGGAGTTCGCAGCGATGCTAAATCCGGTACCGATCGGGTTGTCAAGGAATATCAGGCCGAAGATTCTGTTCCAGGAGGCAGAATTGGGTTCCAGAGCGAGGGGATCGGAAGGGTCTTTGTTGAAATTCACGCGCCATGGGCCGAGCTCGTAGAAGTTGGCGAGCATGGAGGAGCATCCGGGGCCGCCCTGGAGCCATATGAGGAGGGGGACTTTGGAAACGTCTGTTGTGAGGTTCTGAGCTTCGTAGAAAGTGTAGAAAATGGCAGAGCCGCTGGTGGAGTTGACCGGGAGGTAGCCTGATTTGGTGGGGTGGGCTTGTTTGGGGAAGAGAGGGGGGGACGATGCGGCGGCGATGCGGCGGAGAAAGAAGAGGAGGAGGAGGAAGAGGAGGTTGAGATGGTTTCTGGCACTTGACTCCATCGATGATATGCGGAGGGAGCGAGCGCAGACACTTTCTTTGACGATAAGTAGCTACGTACGACTCTTCATTTGCATGACACGTAGCTACATGCACTTTGACTGCTGCATAGAGACTTTTGAGTGTGATGGTACACGAGTGTACATCACGTGTTACTATACAAATGATGAGATATGTGTACTAAAAAATTAATAACTTAAAAAATAAAATTTCCCACCACTTCTATTAAAACACGTGGTGTACCACTTGTATTCCCGTCACAATTAAAAATTTCTCGAATGATGCATTCAATTTTGAACCGTACAAGAAAAATAGTGTTATTTCAAACTAATCATACAAAAAATACCGGGATTTTAAATAAGGAAAACTAATGAAAATAATTTAAAAACTTTGAGTTTTAACAATAAGGATAAAAGAAAGGGTAAAATGAATAGTACCAAGATTAAATTTTTAATGTAAAAATATGATTTTTCGTTAAAATGAACTGTACTGAAAGTTTTTTATTAAAGTTCAATTTTCAATAATTATTCGATTCATATTACAATGATGGGAATCTTCCAAATGGAAGATGCCAAATAAATTGAACGCGTTTCTTGTAACATTCATTTGCTTTGGCTTCTCACCTTCCTCCCCTCAAGCCTTGTTGATTGGACTGCCCTTGCCGGCTATGCAACTTACTTCTTTTCTTGCTTTCTCTGGATACAACCGTACAAGAACAACTATGCAAATTACCTAAGGCAATCATCACGCTCACGTAATATTACATTTTTTCGGATTAGTACTTACACTTCATGAGTACACTGTCATGATAGCATTTTATGTCAATAAAATAAAAATATAAGTAAATTTTTTTAAATGTCCTTATTTCGCTAGTTTGGGGCTACATGGAAATATTCTATTTTTGTTATTAAAAAAAAAATTAACTCGTCTTTCTGAAAAAAAAAAGAAGAAGAAGTTGCAAGTGGCCCTTTACCATAGTGATGGAAAGGTGTTGTACCCTTGCATGACGACGTAGGTTAGAACCCCGTTGGTGACTAATCTAACATTTAACTTACTAAAGTCTAACGCTATCGTTTCACTCAAAAAAAAAAAAAAAAAAAGGTAATTTGGGCCCAGCCGGGTTCCAAACATATAGTGCCCGGCCCAAGTTGCTTAATATATCGCCATTTTGCAACCTCTACCAGTCCCAAGACGCCTGAAAAGTGAAGGGCACACCACCTGTTTGATCAAATGTCGAGCTGAAAATTCCCAAACGTTTTGGCCTTCAGGTACTCAAATTATAGTCTCAAATCAAGATGAATGTGTTCAATGGATGCAAAGAAATTCTAAAGATTCAGAAGTTTCGGAGAATCGTGTCGTATGCCGGATTCTACTGCTTCACAGCAGTCCTGACCTACGCTTACACAAGCAATACGTGAGTCGCTTTACAACCTACCTCGAACGCGTATGAAATAAGAAAAATATTTCTGGGTTTTGAAGCTGGTGTTGTTTTTAACTGTTGTCATCCATGGTATTTGTGTTTGGTGTTGCAGAACCCGAGCTGGGTTTTCGAGAGCGGACCAGTTCTATGCTTCTTACCCAGCTGGAACCGAGCTCTTGACGGACACAGCAAAGGTTTGTGAGAGAACTCTACTTATTTGAATGCAAAAGGTTTTAGCTTTCTATGTGTTTGATTTGATTTGTGTTAGTTTCGTCTTCTATGTGTCCGTGCCTTTGCACCCCGAGTTTGTATTAGATTAAAGTAGTTCAGAATATCGTGTTGTCAAATAAAAATTGAATGTTTGATATGCTATGTGAATAATTCTTGGTTTGTTGCACAGTTGTATAAAGCTGCGCTTGGTAATTGTTTCGAAAACGAAGAATGGGGTCCGATTGAGTATTGCATTATGGCCAAACACTTCGAGCGACAGGGGAAAGGGCCCTATGCGTACCATGCTGTATGTTACTCAATTCTACTTGAATTTGCATTTCTAATTACGTTTTGATATTCTGTTTTCTTTGTGAGAATTGCTATGTTAATGCACAAATTTTTTTGTTGCTGGTGTTTTGATGCTTCCGGATTCAGCATCTCTCGTTTTTAGAAGCTAGAAAAATTGCATAAGCATTCTCATTCGTCATTCCATCTTGTTCGTATCCCGTAGGGTAGAATGGTTCTCGGTTTTGGTTTAAGACTTCATATGTTCCCATCGTAAGGCAATTACAAACTGCGCCAATCGTGGCGAAAATTTGACAATGCTATTCTCTTGAAGGAGACAAACATACAAAATGTACTGCATCAAACATTTTCATGAAAATAAAGTTTCGACCCCTACCAGAGCGGTGACTATCTACATTTACGTTTGTTATGCTTGTTTTCTTTCCTAAACGAATGGCTATAGGAGTCGTTTGTAGGGTTTTCAGCTAGCTCAAAAGAGACACCTTTGGTCTTATGCGAGCGTTAACAAGCACCATTATACGCTCGCTAAACTGCTTCCTCCACCCTCCTCGTCTTTGTTAACGTAAGGGTAGAGTGCACTTTTATGTCGATTGACCTGTTTTGTGAACTCTCCTCAGCGTTCATAAGAAGCGGTTATGATTCTTGTTAGCTCAGTTATGTATTGATGCTCCAAATTTGACTTCAACAATTCATTGGGTAAACTGTTACATAGAATGAAAGCTCATTCAGTGTTTTTTTTCACTTATGCATTTTGTCTGCATGGTTGCAGCATTACATGGCACACCTTCTATCGCACGGACAGCTCGATGGAAGTGGATAGAAGTAGCGTTGTTCGCCGGAAGATAAGTAGAACATCGCATACCATATCTCTAAGAAACTTGACGCTCGTGCTGGTAATGTACGATGCCAATCATAAGATGTGAGGATTATAGAGCAGATGAATCCCATGATGCTGGAACTTCCTTTGAATCATTTTGTTGTTCAATCACCCAATACAACATACATTTAATCTAAATCATGGTTGTAACAAGCGTTTCCTGAACAATCCGTTTTGTTGTATGAAGCGTTTTCCCGAATAATCCGTTTTTGTGCTTTCCTAATCACAATTAATCAAAGTAATTAACAGCTCTCCAGTACCGCAATTGTGAACTTTACTAGCATTCTTCCGGCACATAGGTTTAAGAACAAATCATCATATAGGTTTGACATATAGTATAACTGCCAAATGAGTGGCATTTGCCTTCTGGCCCTAAGAAAACAGAAGAAAATGAAAATAAAATGCAAGTCCGCGGTAAAACGACCGTAAATTATCGGGAAAATATGGCAAACAAAATAAATCCATCCCCACTTGGTAGTGCAGGCTCAATCTTATCAGATATAACACTACCAGTTGTAGTGCGGTATGCTGCTGCTGCTGCAATCCTCTACGACAGCACGTTGACCATCTCTTCGTTTCGCCCTGCAATTCGATCTTCCTGCAGAGGTGGACAATGTGCATTTACAAATTTGGATTTCAAAGAAAATCGGGAGGCAGCTACCTAAATATACTGAAAAATCCGGGAACTCTTACCTCGCAGTACTGGCTTTTCATAACCACACACTTCGAAGCGCTAATGCTATCGCTCCTCCACAGGCTGTGGGGACTATGGTTTGGATTATTAACGCCATTCGGTATAGTTGATCCATTTTGATATGTTGGTTCTGGTACTTTTACCTCCTGAGACCTTTGAGGGCTATGAACAGCTGCACGACCCACTGAAGCCGTTGTACTCTTTTTAACGTTACCATTTTGCTCCGCAGCCTCATCCTGCGACATACACACTCGTTCCCTATGGACAATAATGGAAAGACATCAATATTGTGAAGATGATAACGGAACTCGAGTAGAAGTGAAAAAAAAAAAAGGAATTCAACGCAATTTGTTCAAAATTTTACCTAGGTAACGAGGCATGCTTCCTTTGAAGCGCAGTGCTTCTTTCACCTTTGCCGTAGTGTGCCTCAAGATGCTCAAACTGTCGTCTAAATCGATCAACTCCACTGGTGGACACAAGATGAATTTTCACTATACGTATTCTCATGTAATATGAAATCACGATATAAACATATGCAAGCATGCGCATCATGAACAAGTAGTAGTTTTACGAACAAATGCTGACCTTGGATACATGAAGCCAATATTATCTGAACCTTGAAGGTAATCCTGCAGCATCTTCGGATGATACTCCAAAATCTGAACGATAAGAACATTCGCTATGAGTAGGTGGTAAGGAAAGAAATTACCAACAAGAAGAAGTGAAGGATAATGCCACCGAAGAAAACCATCACTGACGATAGTCATACCTCTCTATAAATTAGCTCTCTCACATCATCTTTTGTCAATCTACTCCTCTCGAACTCAAACTCGAGCTTTGAAATGGGCTGTCTGGACGGTTCCTGGTCCAAATTTGCCAATCCAACAAAATATGGGTCTGCTAAGGCCTGTAAAGAAAGCAATGACTTTTATCAGAAGAAGTTCTCTAGCATCAAAAGCAAACAAACGTTACCTCTTCAGCAGAAGGACGATCTCTAGCATCAAAAGCAAGCAAACGCTCAAGCAAACGAAGAGCCAATGGGTCCGCATTTGGGATTTTTTGCGAGAGAGGAACTGGTTTCTTTCTCCTCATGCTACTTAAATATCTTCTGGCCTTTTCGTTCCGAATCTGCAGTCATTAAGATGATCCCACAGGAACAAGTTCTTTTAACACTGTCCTAATAAAAAATGACATCGACAAAAAGAGATAACAAACCCTTGCAATAGATTCAGTGGGAGGAGTGCCAAGTAAGTCGGTAATGAGATCCAATTGATGCACAACATTTTTCCCGGGAAACAACGGTTTTCCTGTTAGCATTTCTGCAAATATGCACCCTATGCTCCATATATCAATAGCAGGGGTGTACTGCATATACAAATTACAAAATGCTTAGCCGAAATCTAAAAGGGTTTAGTTTTAGAACAAATTGCACGAAAATTATCGGAGTTAAAACATTCAGAAAGCCTTGCAGCAAAGAGCATTATATCACTGTCAGCAAATTATTCATTTTATATCACTGTAAGCTGAAAATCTCACAACACCATATTTCCACTCACCTTGGAGAAAAAGGAACCACAGAGTTCAGGAGCACGGTACCATCGAGTTGCCACATAATCCTTGGAACAAGCAAAAGGAAAAATACAGCAATAAGAACGAAAAGGAAGCTAAAAAGGCTAATAACTACCGCATCAATGGCAATCCACAACTTTTTTTTTTTTTCTTTCCTCCATAAGATTTACACATACAGTCCAAAAAATGGTTGATGGAGCGTCATTACACGCAGCACGAGCGAGCCCAAAGTCACAAATTTTCAGTTTGCAGTCTGCATTAGCAAGTATATTTTTCGGCTTCAAATCTCGATGGAAGACATTTGCTGCAAAAAGAAGAAAACAAGGTCATCAGATCCATAGATTATGCGAAAACGAAGGAAATTCCATGGTAGTGCAATAAAATGATCGTCAAACCTGTATGTATATACTTGAGGGCGCGAAGAAGCTGGTACAAGAAGAACTGATAATGCTCGGGAGTGAGATCATCATTCGCCTTAATAACTTGGTGAAGGTCAGATTCCATCAACTCAAACACAACGTATATGTCTTTAAATTCTCGCCGGCAAGGGGGTAGCATTATATGCCTGATTTCGACAATATCAGGGTGATGCAGCAGCCGAAGGAGCTTAATTTCGCGCAAAATCCTCGTAGCATCGGAGACATGCTCGAAGACGTCGTTGATCTTCTTAATGGCCACTTTCTCACCCGTGTGAGTGTCAACTGCAGATGCAACAACTCCATAGCTACCTTTCCCAATCACTTCCTGGATTTCGTACTGGCTCGCCTCACCATATTCTGTGAAAAATTCCTTGTCCAGCATCTTCTGAATTATCAGCCAAATTAGAAACAAAAAAAAAAGGATTTTACATAAAAAAAAAAAAAGGAAACTTTGAAGAACCTCGATGTATATCAGTATCAGACAACAATTAAACCACCCAGAAGATAAGATTTCCTGATCCTCTCCGGGAACCAAAAAAAAAAACCCAGAAAAGGATATGACAGGTATGAAATGATCAAGGATATGAACCCATCAGATGTATGTATGTACGTATGTATGTATGTATGTATGTATGTATGTATATCTGTGTGCAGGATACAGCAGTGCAGATTTGAACTTGTCAACAGAAATGTTCTTATGAGCGATCACCAACAACAGTAAAAATTAACGGAAGAAAAGTCAAAAAAATTAAAAGTAAAGAAAAAGAAATAGAGAGAGAGAGAGAGTCATGAGGGAAAGAAAGAATGGAAGCCGAAAAATATTAAAATTGATCACAAAAAATCAGTTGAGCAAAAGACAAGTTATGGCGACCGACTCAGCTCTGTAATCCCCTAGAAACGCGGACCTTATCTTATCAGAAAACCACGGAGAGAGAGGGAGGGAGAGGAGAGGGAGAGAGAGAGAGAGAGAGGAGAGAGGAGAGAGGAGAGAGAAGAGAGAATATATTATGATTTGAGAGCAACAACTGGGTTACAGTCTGTAATACTAGTGCGGCTGACCTTATGATGGTCCATAGTGGCGACTCTGTGATTGGTCCTCATCGGCACCTTGATGGGCGTCAATCCACTCATGTCCAGGTCCACCGTCATCATCAACTCCCTCTGCTCCTCATCAGTGCTGGCCGATGACGGCGGTGGCCGTTCGACGGCGTCGTTTAAGGAAACATCACCGTGATCGGCGGAAGAAGAAGAAAGGCCCTGAAACCAGCGGCGAATGCCATCCATGTCGAGAGTCGAGAATCGAGAGCGATGAATCTATTGCCCGCGTTTTGCGGAGCGTTTTCTTCCTATGTACTCTGTTTTTTTCCCTGTTTTGCTGGTTCGGGAAACGTCCGAGTTTTCAAAGACTCTCTCTGTCTCTGTCTTTGTCTATCAATCGGGCCGTTTGTAATATTAAAACATTATGAGTAACATCGCTGGCTTCCTAAGTTACCAATTAATTTTTTTTTCTGTTGGATAAGATGCCGACCACCTAGTTGTTTATTTGGGTAACACTTGCTGCCGCGCCACGATTGCACATTGTGTCGTGGTTTATCTATAATCGAAACTGTTAATTTTAATTTTCTCTTGAAAGGTTGATATTTTATTATACAAGTACGTGAATCACAATTGGAATAAGCTTAAGAGGTGTGTCCACGGCGAGATTTTTTGTTTGCTAAAAACACAACTCAGTTTATTACGTGTCATAATACAAATAATTAGATATTTGAAAATAAAAATTCATGCACTTGTTTTAGAACATTTGGTACAACAGACCACATTCCCAACACACTGATAAAAATTCATGCCCGTGGCAAAGAAAACAAGTTGTGACTTCCTATTTGAGAGCAATATGTCACTACGACTTCCAGGACGCATTTGGAGCAATTTTTCTGTTTTTGGTCCTCACTGCAACTGCTCAATCTCAAGCTTCTCTGGGATCTCAGCATTTTCTGCAACTAATTTTGGTTTAAGAGGCCTTCCTCTGCCTCTGCGCTGCGGTTGCTGCTGTGGATGATGGGGTTGAGAAGGTAGAGAAGGCTCCCCTCCGCCTTGTTTTGGCTTACGAGGCCTCCCTCTTCCTCGGCCCCTTGGTGGCTGCTCATTTTGATCATGTTCAGGTACCAATGCCCTAGTGCTTACATCCACATTGTTTCTAGCTTTAGGAGGCCTGCCTCGACGCTTTGGTGGCTGCTCCTCATGAGGACTTTCAGGAACAAAGGGTACCCATTGCCAAGAACTTTCCGAATCTTTTCTTGGTTTACGAGGCTTTCCTCTACGTCCCTTTACTTGTCCTTGCAGTGGTGGTTTCTGTTGCTGACCATCAGGAGCGAAGGGTCCCTTTAATTGAGTCTTCGGGTTTTCATCACCATGGCATTCCAATATCTTACTTCCAACCTCAAAATTTTGCCCTTGGACTACATCTCCAGACTCTCTGATTTTTACTGATTGCGGATGACAGTGATTTTCGATGACTTCAACTTCTTGAGCTTGTGGTTCGTTTTGCTCATAGGTCTCCCCACTTTGCACTTCTTCTCTGTGATGATTTTCTTCGATCACTTCAGCTTCAGTTTTTTCTTTTATCATTTCATTTGTATTTGCTTTCCCCGGGTTATATTCTGGTTTGGGGAATGCCACTATTGCTTCTTCATTCAAACCCCCTTCCCCATCCAACTCTATGCCTGCCCTCTGCATTGTCAAACAGAAACCACAACAAACTGAAAGTCACGAAGGGTTTTCATTGTTCTTGGCAGTTTCAATATTTCTCTTTTAGTTGAGTGAGCCTACTACCTTCCATACAGTATCACCAATAAAAAATATTTACCAGATAAGCAAAGTAAATACGAATATAATAGAAACCAAAGGCAGAAAATGAAAAGTCGCAGGCCGTACCTCAAAATCAAATTGTTCCTCAATCATTTGCATTAGCTTCATTTCCGATTCACATTGGTTTTCGGTCACTCCAAAATGCTCTTGCTTTTCTTCATTGTGTCTTCCCACCATCATGCTTTTTCCAAAACCTTCATTTTGCTCCCCTTCCTCCCTACCTCCATCCTCATTTCTGCCCTGTCTACCCTGTACCCTTCCCAGCCCCCTTTCACTCCTGCACTCTCTGTCCTCCACGCCCCCATCACCACCATCCTTAACCCCAACATCGTACCTCCCACCTTCCAAACTTATGCCCAATATCTTAGTTCCGACTTTAACATTTTGAGCTTGTGGTTCGCTTTGCTTAAATATCTTCCTACTTTGCTCTTCTTTTCTATGATGATTTTCTTTGATCACTTCAGCTTCAATATGTTCTTTTACCGTTTCCTTTTTAACCACTTCTCCATGGTTATATTTCGGTTCAACAAATGCCACTATTCCTTCTTCACTCAAACCCCCTTCATCCAACTCCTTGCTTGCCATCTGCACTGTCAAACAGAAATTACACACACAATGTTGCCAGCAGCAAAAAAAAAAGAACTAAAGTGCTAATGATGAAAAGAAAAATCAAAGGAAAGTAAAAAACAAGATACAAGAAGAAAATATCAAGTGAAGATGCAATAATGGTGATACGTGAACAGCATTGCTCAACAAAATTCAAACCAAACAAAAGATTACCAGATAAGCAGTTAAAAATGTAAACAAATTGTCCTCCACTTACTTGCATTTGCTTTGTTTCTGGTTCACATTGGTCTTCAGTCACTCCAAAATGCTCTTGCTTTTCCCCCGCGTCACCTTTATCTTTTAGCTGCATCTCTGCAATGCTTTCTCCAAACACTTTTTTATGCGCCTCTTCCTCCCTACCTCCATCCTCATCCTCAACTCCTTGCCGTCTACCCGGTACTCTTCCTTTCCCCTCCCGCCTTTTGCTATGGCACTCTCTATCCTCCACATTCCCATCATCATCTTCATCATCCTGATTCGCAACATTGTACCTCCCACGTTTCAAACTCACAACCACTCCACTCTCACAAAGCTTCCTCAAATGATGCCTCAAAAAACCTTCATGTGCCAATGGCAAATCCTTGTATTCCCTTTTGATAAACTCCGATATGCCCCCCTCACTCGCCCCACCATCCTCATTCAACACCTTTATTGCCCTCTGAATCATCTACATTAAACAAAAACACAAAGCGAACAAACGAGATCGTAAAACCACACTACACACAAAAAGAGGGGGAAAAAAGGCTCTACTCACTTTAAACTTACTAATCACTTCTACGGTGAAGAAGGACTTTTGGGAGAAGCAATTAGGATTTTTGATAAAAATTGTCAGTATGTTTACAATAAAAGAACTTCTAGCAAAAGCCCTTTTGAGCACAAATGCTTCCTTTAGAAGCAGTCCCAAACTAGCCCTTCAGGACAAACAAAAACGCTTCTAACTAACTTCGGTCGTATAAGCACTTTCTGAGCAGGTGCTTTTCCAGAAAGCACTTAAATTTTTTTACAAGAACTTCAACACTTGTAGTACTTATGAGCAGATAGGCTACTTCCAAAAGCAGTCCCAACAATAAAAGCACTTTTAATATATTGAATGAAGTGAAACAAGAAATTAAACAACTTTGCTGTGTTAATTAAAGTGAAATTTACCGAGGCATAAGGAGGGTGATTCGGAATGTGGAATGCCGGGATGAGCAGCCGGAGGCCGCGCTCGATGTTGGACTTGAGGCGGTCGGAGTCGATGGGTTTGGAGGGTTCGGAAGCGGCAATGCGGGCCAAAACGGCGTCGCAGAGCCTGCGCCTGAAGCGTTTCAGCCTATGGTCATCGGCGTTTCGAAGACGATGAAGGAGCGGGTCGGGTTTTAGGGTTGCCATTTTTGGGGGTTTGAGAATTGAGAGCGGGTGGAGAGTGGAGACACACTTTGTAAGTTTGTATATAATGTGCGCTCGTTCGTACTCTGTCTGATTAAATGTTGAAAAATATATCAGTCAACTTTGTTTAATGTAACAGTGTATTAGTCAACTTTTTGTTTAAGCTTTAATTAGAATTTCTTTTCTTCTCAAAATTATAATTTTTGGAGGCTTTGAGCATGATTTTGGATGTCGGCAAGTACAGTAATGAGAATGCAGCTAATCCATGTTCATGCGTTTGAAATTTTAACGGGAATATTTTTGCTCACTTTTCATATTTATTCGTTTTTTGAACTGTCTAGTAGATAAATATAAATTTGAAAAATTTAAATTTATTCAACGATGATAAATAAAGTGGTGAGCGTTACCACTACTTGAGGCCGAACAAAAGGCTACTTGACCCAATCTAAGGTCATTTCCAACCGATCCGACCAAAGGGCCATAGAGCTAAAAATAGCTCGAAATGACACGAAAACCGTCTCTAACTGAGGGCTAGGCCAAAGGGCTTGTGGGCCCCACTGAGTCCAAACCCCCAAACCAGGCCAGTGGGCTGGCCATTTTCAACTAGCCAGCCAGCCCTCCAACTCACCCTATTTGAATGACGCCAGCTAACTAACGTCATGTTGCCGTCAGGTTACTGTTGGAATTTGAAATTTTTTTTTGGACGAATTTAAAAAAAAAATTCTAATATGGTAGTTTAATTTAATTAAAATAATAAATTATGTTTGGCCTATGACTATGACCTGTTGGCCTCCTCGGCTGGGGATGGTATAAAATATGATCTAACACTGTTTATTAAAATATAATTTCTTGCAGAGTTACAGGGCTAAAAGGAGCCCTTTGGCCCTCCTTCGGTTGGAGATGACCTAACGACTTGATTCTTCCGAATGGAACTGAAATCTCTAAGATTTTTGCATTCTGATGCTCTTTGCAATCACCATGCCAGGCAAAAGCATTTGAAGCAACGAGTAATTCCACATAGAATTTTATCGATCCAAGTTACAACAACCCAAACATAGATCTAATTACCAGGTTCTCTCCTTATCATTTACAAAAAGCAGGAGCCCTACTCGATCCAAATCCAATGAGGACATAACTGCACAAGCACACCCATGGCGTTCACCATTTTGTCGATTTACATTTCGCAGATAAACTACTTCCGTCAAAGTAGGACTCGAAGGTCTTCATCACTCCCTCGTACGTTGGCCTCTTGTAGTCCACTGCCTGTAATCATCAAACAACCCATATCTGATCATGTCCGTGAAACAGTATTGGGAAAGTAATTGAGTAGAATGATGGTTTTTCATCGCACCTGCTCGATAACTTCCTCAGGGGTAGCCCATTTCCACTCTGCAAATTCTGGATCAGCTGCCCCATTAGCTAAGTTGATCTCGCTCTCATTTTTTGTGAACCTCATAAGAAACCTGCGGTTGCACTAACTCGGTTGTTAGGAAGCAGAAACTTGAGCGTCCTTATTTCCATCCATACAGATTTGTAGCAACACATGAAGCACATTCTAACAACTGGAAGATTACATCAAGCAAGTTCATATTTTAACCGGGAGAGGAGCATGATGACTGAACATTTTCGTGGTTAGCAAGCTCAATATCGAAATTTATCAGTCATCGCAACAAATACAAAGGTATTTCATGTGCCAGAGTCACTACTACACACAGTAAATTACTAGCAAAATGTTTCTCGACAGATACTTCGACTATGCAACAGTACATATCTGGTGACTAACGAGGAAATAATCCTAGCATATCGATCAGACACGTTCAGACAGACAGGAAATATAAGTTTTGGCAAACAAGTTGCAAGCTGAGGAAGGCAGGACTTAAAATTCATGTTGTTTTCAGTTCATCAAGTGTGTGCATGTGAAGGAATAAGGACATGCCATTTTTGTGCTTGCCCGTGCCATTCACCTCCCCACAGACGATTAACTTTGGTCTTCACGGCAGGTGGAAAGTCATAAGTTAGCCAATTCGGAACCTGTCAATATGCAACCTCGTTAATCACGAGCGTGCAAAATTGACTGCAACATCAAGCTGCTCACCCAGCATAGTTATGAAACTCAGCCTAATTCTTCAGTTATGAACTCTATCCAAGCTATACAAACCTCAGCAATAATTTCAGCAGACTCAATCCCCGTCTCTTCTCGTAATTCCCTAATAGCTGCTTTTTTGGGTTCTTCGCCATCTTCAATACCCCCCTGAGAAATGAGGATCCAAAAACAATTCACTTATCAATGTAAAGTATAAATTAACCATAAACCCTATGTTCTTAAAGAAGAATCATTTTCAAGTTTCGACATTGGTTAAGAAGCGCCGGAGTCCCGGGTTTGATTCCCTCCTCCTCCTCCTCCTCCTCCTCCCAATATCGTTTGTACATCAACAAAAGAACATTGGTTATATATGAAGCTCTATCATGGTTGAAAAAGAAAGAGATCCGTTCAGTGTGGTTAGTGGTTACTACCTGAGGCATCTGCCATGCACCCGGAACATTCAATCTTGATCCAACGAAAATCTGCAGTAAAATCTTCAACCGTTAAAATTTCCTCCCTCAAGTATGTTTACTTTAAAATTTACAACCGCTCTTCTTCATCAAAAGATGGTTTACGCAAAACGATATTCTAAACTACTATAATCTACCGCCGTGATTCAAACTCGTATGCAACAACAAGAACAACGGATTTGATTTACTGGGTTTTGTCGCAGAGTTAACATGGTGACAAAATTAGATCAAATCTAACCCATAAGCATGCAAGACCCCACCAAAGAGTCGAAGAATAATTAAGTGGGTAATTAATTAAGTTAATTAAAGAGATTAAGAAGGGAAAAGAAGATTTGGGTACCAGATTATCGGAGTTAATGAGGCAAACGCCCACGTTGGGACGATAACCAGACGGCAGATCCTCCATTTTCCTCTGGTTCTTCTTCTTCCTTCTCTCTGCTCTGCGAATGATTGACCCTCGGAAAATCAAAAGCCCAATCCCAAGAAATAAAAAATAGTGGGGGTTTGGGTTTGTGGGAATTAGTGACGCTGGCTGTGACAAAATGGTGAATCAGACTCTTTATCTTGTGCGCACAGCAACTTACATGATATAAATTCACAATCATGTAATAATATCGCGTTTTAATACAATAATACATTATAAATTTTTTAGCAATATATTAGATAAAAGACACTTTATGGTTCTTTAAGGATTTTTCAATGTGATCAGCACACGAGATGATACATCACGTATCACTATATAAATAATAAGATATGTGTGTTAAAAAATTAATAACTTAAAAGTTTCATCCCAATCAAGAGTACTCTTCTATGCAACTCCCCTCACTTTCTTGCCATGATGGGCGTCTCATATGTAGACATGTGTCTTTTTCTTTTGTGTCTTAATATTTCTCATGAAAAAAATATGTTCGCAAAAAAATTATGAAAAGTTGACAACCTACTGATATTTTATAGGAAGCTTTGCCTATAAATACAAGTAGTTTTAAATTATTTTAAAGAGATACAAAAGTTCAAATTTTTAAAAAATATAGCTAAAAACAAAAAAACTAAAATTTGATATTTTTCATACATGTTTGTAATAGACTTATTACTTAACCAAACCAAAACTACAAACTAACACCATTTATAAACTTCAAACTGATTTTAAATTCGTAAAGATTAATTTATGCACTTCTGCAATATTAGTTTCACAATTCATGTTCTTCTACAAGATCAATTTCACTAGTCATGCTCCTTTGCAAGATCAATTTCATAATTTTTTGTAATATCAGTTTCAAAATTCTATTACTTTTGCAATATTAGTTTCAAAGTTCCAGCATTTTTGCAAGATCAATTTCCAAATTTTCAACACTTCTACAATATGAGTTTCAAAATTTTAGCACTTTTGCAAGATCAGTTTCAAAATGATTGCATCCAACTCATAAAAAAAATCAAACACTTAAAAAAAACCAAAAAATAAAATAAAATCTCAATTGTTCTCATAAAAGAAAAAGAAACATTCATAAATCTAAGAAACAATACAAAGAAGAGGAGGAGAGAGAGAAGAGAGGTACGATGAAGAACGAGGATGAGGGAGAGGTAGGATGAAGAACGAGGATGAGGGAGAGGTAGGATGAAGAACGAGGATGAGAGAGGTAGGAAGAAGAACGAGAGAGAGAAAGAGAGAAGTAATGAAGACAAAAAGAGGATAGAGAAGAATGAGGAGAAAGAGACCCATGTTTCAAACATAGAGAGGTAAAATTGTAAATGCAAGGATAATTAAAAAAAACAACCGTGACATCATGCCACATTCCTCTTTAAAATAAATAAAAAAACTTCGTCTCTTCCTAAAATATAGTCTTATAATTTGACTCTATGTGTAATTTTTCCTATTTTATATACGCTAAATTACTGTAACCATTTTAGGATATTTTGTATCATTTTTGTCCTTGTAGATCAATTTTGTTTACTCACCCAATTCATTAAGTTGGATGAGTAATGTGAAACAAAATATTTTACAAGGACTGAAATGAAATCTTGGTGAACTTCGAAGATGATTTCTGCAATTTGAAGTTTTAGTTGTTTGAATTTACAATAAATTTTGGTAAAAATGGGTAGAGCTCATGGTAAGGAGTTGAGGGCGCGCACATAGGAACATGCCTTTGGTGGACGAATGTGGCGCGTGATGGTGACATGGGACTGAAAGTCAATGACCGAACATGCGCATAGAAAAAAATGAGCGTAAAAACGAGGCAGCGGTAAAAGACAAAGAGTCAACATAGTAAAAGTGGCCAGAAGGGCCGTTGACTTTTGGCACCTGAGTGTCAGAAAGTGCATCTCTCCTTTAATTATCATTATCGATACATTTCCGTGGTTATTCTACTGTCGACCGTAAAAACAAATTTATATAGAACGAGTACATTATATTTTACATTCTCAATCATTAAGTTTCTTGATATTTAGTATTATATTATTAGATTTAGAATGTCGTGAAAAAATGAATTTGTTTTATGCAAGTTGATTGTATTCGTATTCTGTACGTA